CAAGAACTGTTCAGATTTGAAAGATGCAGGCTAGAATTAGAGGATGAGTTTTAGCTAGTGCAAATAACCTCATAGGCACACCTAGTGCATCAAAGAAAAACACAGATCTTCTAAGCAGAAAGAATATTTTTCATGTTACTGCGAAGAGCCTGGGCAAACTCAAAAAGCATGAGGTATGTTTCTGGATGAAGGTTGTAACACAGTGGCCATAAATCTAACCAGGGGTTGGGAGGGAAGCCACCCCTTGGTGCCTATCACATGGTTGGGCACACTGCTCCAGCTCCCAAGGTGAAGGGGCATTCCTACTGCAGTACAAATTCCCTGCTCTGATTCAGCCCTGTGTATGACTGAAACGATGGAATAATTATCAGAATTATAACGTTGATAAAGCTGAATGTTACTCATGCTGTGTGAAAAGAACTTAATGAGGTTGTAAAAGCACTGAGAAGTAACAAAAGGGTTGCCTGTGTAACCTTAATTCATTGTGCATATACATTTTCAGGCAATCATGGTTTGGTCAACCCAATCTCTAGAGTCCTTATTTTATATAATGTGTAGATTGAGGGTGTTCAGTTTTAAAGCAGTTATTCGGCATTTTGTGTATTCCTTGTTATTTATCATGTGCAGCCCCTTATTTTATTTATCATATGCCATTTGAACATTTTTCTGAAGAGAAAGAGGCTCTTTTAAGGTGCTTTTTAGTGTAGTGTCTGAGTATCCACAGTTATCAGAGACTGTTTTCAAACTCATTTGTGCATGTATTCTGTCCATTTTACAGATGGAAAGCTGAGGTACAGCAATAGTAAGGCCAAAAATAGCTGCTGGTTTTTGACATGAAGTTTGAGTTGCTGGTAACCTAAATTTTAAGATACCCCTGCAGCAAACTAGAGGTTCAAAGCACACATTTGCATGCATTACATCTTTACAAGTCAGATGCTAAGCTCTAAAGAAAATCAGAGGCTCTTTATTGGTGTCCAGCTTGTTAAATAAGTTGGTTAAAGCAGTCACCTAATATCTTTCAGGTTGCAGGTACACCAGGGGCTTCAATCATGCTTCATGTAGTCCCTTTTGTTACAGAAGTCTTTCAACTTCTTTGAAAAATGACAGAAGGCAGCTTGCTTTTATGCAAAATTCAGATTCATCCCTAGAGCAGACCTCTTATAAGCACTAAATTAATGAAGCGTTTCTAGAGGAAAAAATAGTATGTTATCAAAAACTGTGTTGCTACATATGTTCACAATGAGAGTAGTGACTGCTGGGCTGTTTGCTTGCTCTCCGTTTGCTGATTTGAACCCAGAACCAGGCAACACACTGCAGGCTGAGCTGAGCCGCTGGGTAGGGAGGAACCTTTGGCCAGTTAGCTGAAAAAAATCTCTGTCAGGCATATGCAAACAGTGATTTTGAAGAGATTTATAAATTATCCAGATTGGAGAGGATTTATCTTAGAAACAGCAAAATGCACATCCTTAATTTGAAGATTATAGCTTGCTGAATTTCAAGGTTCTTCTCCAGTTCCTCTTGGGATCCAGAGGTTTCTCAAAGAAAAGGTTGCCAGAACTTGTCAAAACAGGGCATTTTTCTCTTAGCATCAGTCTCCCAGATAGCTGAATTGCATTTGCTGACATTTTCTTTTAAAGAAATCGACCTGAAGCTGACACCCAGTGTGAAAAAAAAAGCAGATTTTGCCAATGTTATAAGTAACAAAAATGTGGTTTTAAAAAGGGAAGTGGTGTCAGGCATTAATAAGCAGCGATGCTAACCTGACCTGTCATAAACTCTGTAGGATGCATGAAAAAGAGAAAAGTAAATGAAAGATAAAATGAAAACGAAAGTTGAATCTTAGCCAGTATATTAAAAGCCTATATTAAGTCTCTTAGGTACAGTTTGACAATGAATATTGTTTTGATGAGAGGTAGGAGGAACAAGAACAAAAATTACAGTGAGAATTTGCTGCAGACTCCCAAGAATGGGTTTTCAATCTCGAGGTGATGCACGTCTGATTTTACCAGATTTGTTTGTCACACATTTGCTAGTTCAAAGGAGAAATGAATATGAATCATCAAGATGTTTTTTCCAAATTATAAATAAGGCATCTTCATTATCCAAAAATTATATTAACTCATCTGATAGCAACTATACTATCTAGACATGGGGAAAGAGGGCTGAAAAGGTGGAAACAGTAAGTACTGAAAGAGAAAAGATTTAGCTGCATGAACAAGTTAAACCAACTCTGGACAAGGCACTTAAAGGGTGGCTGATACAGCCTGTTTTGTTGGAGTTTTCCATTTTTACTATGTATTTTCAAGAGGTTGGTACAAAACATTGTTTCAAGTAGGAATCGGTTTCTCTAATAGTCCCTAGAAAAATGCCATACAGGAAAGAAAGAGGGTTTGGATATTCCTCTTTTTTACAGGCATACTGAGTATTAGCAGAAATTTGGTGGTATGAAAGCCCCCAAATTTAGAAAACATTTTGAGCACCTATCATAAGAGAAAAAAAATCCAGACAGATATAGTGATGACTGAAAGGTCAGTAGTGGAGGTGTCAAAATAATCTTCTGCATATCTTACAAGATGGCCGTGAGTGTTCCCAGAAGCCACTAATAATCCACTGGTGAGTGAGGTGTGATGAGTGTGAAACACCACAGAGAAGCCATAATAGAAAGGAAACATGATCATAGTCATTTTTTGCCTGAAAACTTCAGCTATAGAGAACATGTTTGTATTTTGTGAATCAGCTGAACTATTTCAGTATTTAGAAAATGTGAATCTTCTTACAGAGAAAAATGAGCATGAAATGAAGTACCAAAAATTAAAATAGAATAAAATAACAAACAAACATGAAGAAACAGAATTAAACATTGATCTTGGTCCCCAGGCTCTTAGAGTAGACTCAGAAAACTGATGGTCAAGTATTAACTGACATGAATGTCATACATTAAAAGTTCATGTTGCTTGTGAAAGTACCTGATAGATCCCATTTTGGATCTGGCTTATGATTTTTTTTTTTCCTTTTTTAAAGTATCTTTTAATGAGGGCATATTATCTTTTCTAAAACCTAACCGCATTTAGTATTATTTATGTTTCTATCCATCTTTAAGGTTCTACGTCTTAACACTGTTATACAAGGTATATTCCCATGTGGTACATAGCAGTTGAATAATGGCTTTTTAGCATCAGTGAAATTCCATATCACATTAGACAGTGAAAAATACAGAAAGTATAAATAACTAGTGCTTCAGAGATGGTTTTTAGATGAATGTGGGCAGCCTATAAGGTATGATATTATAATTTCTTAGATATTAAATTTTATTATTAAATCACTGGTGTGTATAGTACCTGGAAATGTTGCAGAAGACATATTTATTTGTAGTCATTGTACTCAATGGTGGAAAGTGCAGCACTGTAATAAACTCTTGCCCTCTGAAATATGTTTATCTTGTCACTGAGCCGGCTTACTAATGTGATTTTCTACCTTTTGCAAAATAAAGGTAACGCTTGCTGCAGTTGCTATGATACAAGACCAGTGCACTGAACTTTCTGGTGCATCAGCACACATTCTGTACCATGCAGTTCACTGTCACTTCTGTTATGACTTCCTAAAGCCTTCCATGAAGAAGTGGACAAGTGAATTTAGTCTCCCAAGACACCACGTGTAAAATAAGGATTCAGAGATATTTTCCTTGTTTGGTCTGAATGACTAGTAGCAATAGTACTGAGCTTCAACTCGATTGTGGGATTGAATTTTAGATTTTTTTGTAAACGGTGGCTCATGACGTAGGCTACAGCAAAACAAGGATATCATGTACTCTCTTTTGTGTTTTGGACTTTACCAGCATGCATAAACATGTCACCTAGCTTTGTCTCTCCAGAAGTTATGTGTCTAGAACAGGCTTTATCAACCCTCTCCTCTGTAGGAGAGGGAAAGATATAAAGGGGTACCTTCAGTGGACAGTTCATCCCACAAACCTGAGACATTTTAAGCCAGGATGAATTACCTCCTAGAGGAGCCTGCTTCTTTGGACTGGTTAGAGAGGGCACCTAGATAGATAGTTTAAATGAGATACCTAACTTTTATATAGCTAAAACTATAGGAGATGAATCCCACTGCAAGTGGGATAAGGTGAATACTTTTCAAACTCTGTGGCCTGGGAATAATCCAGAACAAGATTAACAGGTGGAGATGCAGCAAAACTGGGAGAATACTGTTGTATATGGCAATAAGCTAAAAGTCATAATGTAACACCATGGAGAAGCAATTGTGTAGAGAAAGGTCTGAGAAACACAGATCAACCTCCCTTCCGTACAAAAGCAAGGCTTTTGTCAGAGTAGGTAAATGACTTTTCTATAAGAGTAGCCTTTCTCTCATTTGCATCCTCTGCCTCAATCTCCCAAAGCAGAAGAGTTGACAGCCTGTGTTTCTTGAGAGACGTATAATGTGTTCTCTGTCAACTCTGGTGACTGTATTGTCAGGGAATCCTATTTTGATGACATTGCACTCACTAGACAAAGGCTGAAGACAAGAAAATAAAACTTGTGGAAATACTGGCTTCCTGCTGATAGTCGATTAGGCTGCGGAAGAGATACTCCTTTTATTTTTCTGTAGCCTGGAAATCCATCAGGTGTTCTCCAAGCTATTAATAATGCTTTGGCTAGCAATACCAGTAGGTTTAATGGATTTCCCTGCCAGTGTACTGAATGTGATGGCAATGAAGCATGAAACAGCCTGTTTTAATGACTTACACTAGCGCTTGCTTAGACCTGATGTTAATTTTTTAAACGGCACCTGGGTCTTTCATTAATTGAACAAGCAACCACTTGACAGTGAGTGAGTAATTAATTAAAAAGTCTGAAAACTAATAGTCATTGTACATTAGGAAATATTACTGAAAATTTTCTGGTAAACCTCTTGAAGAATAAGTAATCGCATCTATTGATTTTGAGATGCTTTCTGCCTATTGACACGCAGTCTTTAAAGTAGATGTGCTCCTTTCTCTGCAGCTGGGATGACAGCAGCTCAGTTAGTAGTGGCCTCAGTGATACTCTTGACAACCTCAGCACGGATGATTTGAATACCACCTCATCTGTCAGCTCTTATTCCAATATAACAGCCTCTTCAATGAAGAACACTCATGCCCAGGTGAGTAGCTTTTCATTGCCATTTCTTGCAACACCCCACAAGCGTGCAGGATAACAAAGAAAAAAGTTTAGTATCAATGCCTTTGAAACAAATGAAATATTCATATGTTGCAAACTCCTCTGTCACACTTGTGTGCAAGAAGCCCATGGACCCCACTGACCCAATCCTGACCCGTGTGTTGAGGCCTCAGATGCCCTGCTTCAAGGGCACATCCTACTGCTGAAGGTGCTGGCTGGCGAGACCCTGCTCTGCCCGCCCTGGGGGAGCCCCCACTGGTCCCAGCCCCAGGAAGCCCCCAGCCTCCACTGCACCCTAACACAAGAAAACACCATATGACAGCATCTGTGATGGGTGGATTTCTACTCACTTCATCCCATTTGGAGTATCTCTTTCAACAGATAGCACAATTTAAAATAAGATAGTTTTCATTTTTCATGAGCTGACACATATCAGGGAAGAAATACATAGGCGGTACTGCCCTTTCCCTGTTCTCGCCACTGGGAGGAAAGAGGCTGAAGGAAGGAGCCCACAGGTGGCAGAGCTTCTCTTCTCCCCACTTAGGTCCAGGAATGAAAGTGTCCCATGGGCCCACAAGCTGACAATGCGTAGTGTCAAAATAGAGTTCTGAGCAGCGTACAGCCACAAGCTATATACGTAATACATATATATGTGTGTATCTCTCTCTCTCTTTCTCAAGCCCTTGTATTCTGTATCCCAGTATTTCTTCCCAGCTCCCCTCAAAATTGCAAGTGATGAAAAAGACAATACAGAATGCTTGCAGGACTCAGTTCCCCCCAAAAAAGAAAGAAAAACAGAAAAGTTAGTCCCAATAGAAAAGTATTCTCTGCCATGTCATCTGTGTACAGGCGGGGAACTTCAAGACTGAACACTCAGCATAGGGGAAGAGTTGTTGCCTCCAGTGATTTGATGTCAAGTATTCAGGACACAAGACTGACACTGCCAATTCCATTTAGACTTCTGCAGGCAGCCAGTGCCTGCAATTCAGAGATCTGTTTTGTAAATGGCAGATTGTGGCAGACTTTGTCAACAGGAGAAAAACACGTTTGTCGTTTCCTCCAGACAATGGGGAAATAAAGTTACTTTGGGAATTAAGATTACTTTAATCTGCAGCAGGACAGATTTCAGACCAATGTCGTACTCATGCAAAGATACTCGCACAGATGCCAGCATTCTTCAGCCCTTACCATTGCCTTTCCCACCCCATCAGGGTCTCCCGTGGTTGCTAACTGGAGATCAGCCTCTTCCCTTTCACATCAACAGTGATGGCCAGCTAGTCCTGGCTTACTTGTTCCACTGCATCATCATCATCATCATCATGACTGGGAAATCTCAGGCTGACTATTTAACTCTTTGTGGGTTTTTCATTCGAGTGATCTCATGTTCTAGCTGCTCAACCAGATGGTATTTGCAATTTGTTCAGTGATAGACAGAGATGCAGCACATGTTCAAATGTTGCTTTCCTGCCAGAGTTGCTTTATGTTATGAAGACTAGGAATAGACCTTTATCAGGTCTGCCTTTACCAGGCAGATTAATCAGAACACGCTGTACTCCATGCTAGCCTGCAATCTCAGTCAGAAGCTGAGATGAGCAGAATATATAAATATTTTGCCAGCTGTTCTCCAGGTGTAAGACATACTCATGCAACACCGAGATCCCTTTTGCAGTCTTTTTAAGTGATCAGAGCAGTGCAAGCTGGCTATAGCCTGCGGCAGAAATTGCATATTTTGTTGTTGTTTTCTTATTAAAAGAGGATTAACATCGCTTTTTGGATCCCATAATGGTGAAGAGAGGCTTTTAGAAAGTATTATACTTGTCATTTCTTGGAAATAATGCAGTTTGCTTTAAAAATGTATAGCTATGTGTTTATAACCGTTCATTTATGAGAAAAGTTCTGGGAGCATTACACATGTTGTAACAATAACACTAATGAAAACTCTCTTCTGAAGTACCCTGCAGTATTTGTGTAGATGTTTGCTTGGGCTCTTTTCCCATCAATCCTTACCCAAAATCTGTGCTCGTGTCTCCAAAGCACATATGAAATTATGGAAGTGCAGAGAGCTTTTGCATTTTGTATGCCTCAAATGACAAACATGTAAACAGCAACCGATTATTCTGTCGGTCATATAATCAGTATTAATCCTACTTATGACAGCAGTGCCGAGGAAACAGCCACAGAGGGGTCTCTGTGGAGAAGGAGTTGTGGCAACACAGAATAACAAATAGGCCTCCCCTGAATGCGATCCAGTTTGCAGTCCCACTTAGGTTGGCTGTATGAGGATAGGGCTGTGCTTACATCAGACAAAAGTAATGAAGAGTGATACCTGAGAGCAGCACCGCTTTTTGCTGTCAAAGAAGGGCAGAGGTAAGCAGGACTGGTGAGATGATGATGTGCAAATAAGGCTTGAGGCTGAGGTCAGGAGGCTGCAGGAAAACACGGGAGGAAGGGTTACAACGAACAGCCTGCCAGCACAAAGAACGTGAGTTTTGTCAAACACAGAGGGTAGGGTCAGTCTCCAACCTTTCTACTTAAGTGGCTTTCACAGCTTCTACATTGTCTGTCTTGTTGGGCTGCTCCTTGCAGCACATCCTTATCAGCACACACCAGGGAAAGCAGATGCTGCAGGGGTGTTAGGTCCTCACTGGGGCATCTTCCACATGGGTCTGAGTTTTGGAGCAAGCATGACCCCAGCTGGTTACCTTCACCCCGCTGGTGGGTAGTGCTTGAGTAAGTCTCTCTTCCAGCTGCTCTGCTAGCTGATACAGCTGGAGTGAGTTTTTTGTTGGAAACAATTCGTTTCAGTGGAGACAAACCAGTAGAGAAGCCATCAGCTGTAGCACTGATAATTTTGCTGAAGATGTTATCCTTGCTCAGTAGTGGCGCTGCTGGAGCACTATTCCTAATTTGGTCAGTGGAAGATTTGGGTAGGAAAAGGCATGAAACCAGACTGAGGTGATTTTAGTGGTATATTTAGGAATTCCCCCATTCAAGCTTTTAGTAAAGCCTCTCAGCACAGTGAAATTCAGAGGGAGTTGAGGAGTGGTGAGGGTATCACCACTGATGATTAGAGTAAATTATGCTTCACTTCATTATGGTTTATCTATGAAGGAAAGAATTGAAATCTTTTGAAAATAAAAGAAAAAAGAAAAATGTCTTCCCAAAATGGCGATGTTTTTAAACTTTTGGGACCAGGATACTAATGTTTTAGACAGGAAGTTTCCATGGCCCTTGCTACAAACAAATCAATACGCTTATTCTCCTCCCCTCCTGTGATTTAAGAAATCAGCAAATACTGAAGATGCTGAGACTGACTATTTCTCATGCAAATCTCTTGTAGCTGAAGACAGACTCGGAGAAGCGCTCAGTTACGGACAGCGAAACTTGGGGCAGCACTGAAGAACTGAAGAAACCAGAGGAAGATTTTGACAGCAGCGTAGACAGCAGTGGCAAGTGGAAAGGCCTTCCTTCGGGGCTGTCTGAAGAGTCAGAGAAGGGGGGACAGAAAGCATCTCTCTCTGTTTCACAGACCGGATCCTGGAGGAGAGGCATGACTGCACAAGTAGGAACAACTCAGTCCAGGCACAAAGCAGGAACAAGTGCGCTCAAGACCCCGGGTAGGAAACTTCTGTAGTTCAGATTACAGCACTGAAAAGTAAAGCTTTATACTTAGACTTCATTTATAAGCGGTAAGGAATCTTTAGTGGGCTAAAAGTATTTAATGGATATTATCGGTGTGTGACAGACATGAGGAGCTGTAAGCATATTGGTAGTTCTTCTCTTAAATGACTGCAAGCCAAGATTGTAATAATATACTAACTTGTTCGTCTCTATAATTGTTAGTTTGCTACACTGCATACTAATAATTTATTAATCATACATGAATGTATCCATAACATAAACTGTGATTACATTTTGTTTTACTATCATTTGAGGACATCAGCTTCTATCAGGGAATTCTTAAAAGTATTTTTGGACTAGTGTCTGCCTTATCTTTGTTCTCTAGAAAACCTGTACCTTTGATAATGGAACATACGCATAAAAATCGCAAAAGATTAGAAGTTGAGATAAAAAGGTTTAACATTCAAGTCAGGGGACGCAAAACGAGTGTTTCTGAACTAAAGCTGAGTTGTCACATTTCAGATACTGCAGGCATTCTATAGTCCATTGTTAAGAAATTAAATAAAATATCTTTTTACACACTTTCTTCAGGGTTAGATGAGTTCTTACCTTCTTCTGAAAGGCCTCTCAGAAGTAGTGGCCACTTTTGCTATCTAGTTTTGAAGCAAAAAATCCAAAGTTAGCAGAAGACATCATTATTAAGACCATCTAATCCATCATTTTACTAGGGAAATATTGACCCTTTATAGGACATTTTCTAGACCTTTGTCCTGTCCTGACAAAATACTGCATAAGCATGCACTAACCCCCAGTTGTAAAGGTAACTAACAAAGAACTCCTCAGAATAAATTCAGATCCTTTGTGAGCACCTTTTGTTTCTTTGCAATTTGGAACTGGTAAACTCTAAGATCCCTGAGGGACATTGCTGCAGTCAGTGGTCGTATGGATGCAGAAATGACACCTCTGTAATAGTGATTAAAAAAGGAGATACTATAAAGGTTACCGCATGCCAAGCTAAGTTTTCCAGATCTGCTGTTTTGCTGAAGACGAGCAGGCAACCACTGTGCAACACAGAACGGAGGCCTTAAGTTTTGAAGCATATAGTAATAATCTGTGTGTTCCCAGTGTGGGAGTCTGAGCCGTATCTTGGCGTGTGCATGTGTTTGTGTAGCATAAAATGTGCACTGCGTAAAAACATGAGTGGATTTAGTTCTGACTTGCAGGTGTTCCTCTTTATTACAGTTTAGTTCCTTAAGACAAAGTAGGCCACCCGCCTCCAAAACTTCCATAGTCACTTGAAGAGTGAATTAAAAATGGTTATGCTGAGTATGTGTTCCTTATTAGGAGCATACAATAGACGCTTAAAGACAAATTAGAATAGAAGACAAATGGCATCTTTTGTCTGTAAAGTTGTTTGTAAAAATAAGAAGAGGGTGTTTTCTTTTAAGATAGAAGAAAATACCTTATTTAAACCTTTCTGAATGTTACAATAACATTATGTAGAAATACCTGGTATATAGGTATGTGTTTGTGCAGTACTGAAGACAGCCTCTCAGGAAAATTAAAAATCTTGAAAAGGTATCAAGGATACGACAAAGACTATTAACTCATGTAACTGAACATCAAGAAGTTTCATACCATGACAACATAATCCCTCCCTGATAATTTTGTGTAACTAAAACTAGAACAAATTTAGTTATGAGCTAAAAAAATGTAATCAGTGAAAACCAAAGAACTCAATAAGTGCCACTAATTTTTACATGCATAATTAATGTCATACTTCTGGAAATGTTAATTACATTTCATGATTTATTTTCAAATATTCTTTCTTACATATAGAAATACTATTAGCAGGAAAAAAAGCCAAATAAAATTCCTTACAGTTCATTCAGGATAATTTTCCACATCTATGCTCTCCAGCTATATATGAAACTGGAAGTTCTCAGGAGAATTTCAAGCTTTTAATACTTAATGCTTACCTGTAATGTATCGTGCCTGCTACTGACTGCTGATGGGGGACTAAAGACCAAATTGGTCTGTTTTCTTAGGGAAATTTTTCTATTTGTATATTTTTTCATTTTGAAATTGTAACCATATAGGGTTAAAATTAGATATTGAGACATTACAGCTTAAACACAAGTGACCTTTTCAAATATACTTTTATTTAGGAAAAACAGATGATGCAAAAGCTTCAGAAAAAGTGAAAACTCCCCTGAAAGGAGCCTCCATTCAGCGCTCTCCATCAGATGCAGGAAAAAGCAGCGGTGATGAAGGAAAAAAGCCTCCCTCTGGCATTGGAAGATCAACTGCTACGGGGTCCTTTGGGTTCAAGAAGTCTGGGATGGGATCTTCTACCATGATCACCACAAGCGGAGCAACTATCACAAGCGGGTCAGCGACTCTAGGAAAAATGCCAAAATCTTCAGCCATCGGCGGGAAGTCCAACGCAGGGCGGAAAACGAGCTTAGACGGTTCCCAGAACCAGGATGACGGCGTCCTGCACATGAACTCGAAGACAACTCTGCAATATCGAAGTTTGCCTCGCCCGTCAAAATCCAGTGGCAGCGGGATCCCTGGCAGGGGTGGCCACCGCTCCAGCACCAGCAGCATCGACTCCAATGTCAGCAGCAAGTCTGCTGGTGCCGCTGCCACCAAACTGCGAGAGCCAAGCAAGATCGGGTCCGGGAGGTCCAGCCCTGTCACCATCAACCAGACGGACAAGGAAAAAGAGAAGGTGGCCGTGTCCGATTCCGAAAGCGTCTCTCTGTCCAGTTCCCCCAAATCCAGCCCAACTTCGGCGAGCGCCTCTGGCACACCAGGACTTAGGCAGCCGGGATCCAAATACCCAGATATCGCCTCACCCACCTTTCGAAGGTTAGTGCTTTTCTATGAATTCCTGAAGTTGCAGTATATAAAGCAGGGATTTTCAAAGTGTTGAAGCACTGGGCAAAAAGCCTTTTCAGGGCATATTTTGCCACAAACGGAGAACCACGTGCAAAAAGATAAAAGGGTAATATTTTTCCACACAATGCAATTATTTCTCTAAGGCCTAAAGACCTTCCCAGACGTGAAATGGCTGTTCCTTGAGCTTTGAGCATTTTAGGTACATTCCCATAACAACAGTTTGAAGGCTAGAATAAGTTGGACTCCACGATCCTTATGGGTCCCTTCCAACTTGAGATATTCTATGATTCTAAGTTCTTATTGAATATTCAGGCACATGAGAAGTTCCCTCTCAATACTCTGATAAACCCTCGAAGGGAAGAAGGACGTCTCATTCAGGCACCTTCTGTTACTGGAACAGGCGATGCCATAGCCTGGTCGGAGAACTGAAGAGCTCTATAGATAAATAAAGTATTTGCTTTCACGTTGTTGGCAGCTCCAGCTACAAGCGTTACATTATCGTAGCAGCTTTGTTACATCTTTCATCACAAACATTAGCAAAGCTAAATTTCAATTGGAAATGCTCTATTGTAACGTTTCTGGAAGTATAAATCTGGATGAAGTGTAAATTGGGACGGAGCAGTTGCACTGTTGGAGAAAAAGCCAATAGTGCCCTCTTGTGCCTAGTTACCAAAACAGCATCTCCAGGCTGCTGGGGAGCTGCAGCTGATTTTTGTGGGCTTGGTAATATGTAAAATGGATTCTTATGTTATTAGCCATGCTTACTTTACATCACGATAGGTTTTGCATTTATTTCTTATTAATTTATGAGTTGCACCTTAATTGCAGCTTAAAATGTTTCCAGTAAAACATTAAGACATCACATGATCTTTTATTTCAACAGTTTTAGAGGATTTATGGGGGGGGTTCATCATCACTGTAGAATTTTCTTCTATAGAATTGCTGGAAGCAATTATGTGAAATACACCTCTGTCATGACTGCCCTTGGAGACAAACTGAGCCCATTTAGCTCTGGTGCGGTTTATTCTGTCTGAATGATACTACATGTCCGATGACCGCATGATCATCTGTGCAAAAGAACGAGAAGGAAATTTTACACAAATACCTACATGTTTATTAAACTATGAAGGATTTTGCAAGTGTTTTTTGCAATCATTTTAGCTAATTTGAGAAGTGAAGGGTTTAAAAGCTAATGACTTAGCCATGGGAACGCATAATTCCTGAATTTGGGTGAAAGTGTAATCTTTTCATGCACAAATAAGACAAAAATGTGCTTATTTTAACTCTCTCTGGGAGGGTCTGTATGTGCAAAGAGCACATCTGAACAGGAGTGAATGAGAGCTGTTGCTAATGAAACAAACCCTGATTACTGTGATATGGTTAAGTGAATTTAATTTTGCGATGTGATTGATCAACTAGGTAGGCATGATTTTAGTAGCAGTTATTAAAAATGTGTAGTTTGGCTCTTAGGATGTTACGCCATGAATGTTTAATGTGGCTATCAGTTTCTCTAAAGCTATTTGTTTTACATTTAGGTTGTTTGGTGCCAAGGCAAGTGGTAAAGCTGCCTCTGCACCCAGTACTGAAGGTGTGAAACCCACATCGGCAATGCCCAGCCCTAGTACCACATTGGCACGGCAAGGCAGCCTGGAATCGCCATCCTCGGGCACAGGCAGCATGGGCAGTGCAGGTGGGCAAAGTGGTAGCAGCAGCCCCCTCTTCAGTAAACCTTCGGACTTAAATGCAGATGTTGTAAGCTTAAGTCACTCCTTGGCTTCCAGTCCCGCCTCAGTGCACTCTTTCACATCAGGTGGTCTTGTGTGGGCTGCAAACCTGAGCAGCTCTTCAGCGGGCAGTAAGGACACACCAAGTTACCAGTCCATGACTAGCCTTCACACCAGTTCCGAGTCTATTGACCTTCCTCTTAGCCATCATGGCTCTCTCTCTGGACTGACAACAAGCACTCAGGAGGTTCAGAGCCTGCTCATGAGGACTGGAAGCGTCAGATCTACTCTTTCGGAAAGGTGAGCTTGCCTATAGATACAGTGACCACGAAACCAGTGAGAGGCAAAAGGACAGGAGCCAAAAAAATAAACCCTCCACCTGTTTTCCTAAAGGGACACTGTTTAATTAGCAGCTTAGTCCTTTATGTAAAAAAGGAAGGAAGGAAGAAAAGAAAGCTGAAAGCAATCGCAGGCATTGGACGTGGAATCAACTGCCTTTTAAGGTTTTACAAGCACATTTTCTATCTTGAGAAGTTTTTTTGTTCCCTTGTTCTGGAGAACAACCAGAGAAAAGGGGAAAATTGTCTAATTAAACACGAATCTAAACAGCCACAGAATTACTCCTGCATGCTGGACCTACCTGCTGTCCCAGCAATTGGCAGCTCCAAAGCTGTATCATTGCCCTCTTGCTAACAAATCTTCTCCAGCAGTGGGACCCCAGCAGTTTTCTTCCCATTAGCTCAAAGCAGAGGCGGAGCTGGTGGGCCCCTGCCTTCAGCTGACCAGTGTGGCCTTAAAATGCCCAGTCCTGACAAGTTGCTTCTTACATGGTAATCATTACAGAGATCCTCACTAAAATGCAGTTTCACTGGCAGGGAGACAGTTTACAAGATGAGACCCTCACTATATGCACAGTCCTGCTGAGCGTCTGGAACAGACAAACGAAAGCAAGAAAGGGTTTTCCCCTGCTTGCTCATTTTAACATGCAGATATTTTACCATTTATTTCATATTATAAAATCCACTCTGGCACACTTGTACCACGATTTTTTTTTTTTTTTGGTGACTTTTGCAAGGGAAAAAAATAAACTTTGCTAGTCAGTGAGTAATTTTCACTTCCTGTGAAAATTTTCAAGATTTGACAATGAAACTCTTATCTCACATGGGGACTGAAAAGTCAATATTAAATATTTTCTTTGATCCAAAAAAGAAAATTATACTGAGCCAGTCAGAAATGTTGAAATCTTTTAAAGGTTAAACTTAGTTGTTTAGAAAATACATAATAATTTGAAGGAAAAAAAATCTTTTTTGTATACGTGTGAAAAATATACAATGTTAAGAACTCTTTTCCCTTTATATAAAACCAGAGATTTTTCAATACCAATCCTTTCCTTGGAAAGATTTCACTTTCAGTGAATCAGCATTAAAAGAAAATAAACAAAATCAAACCCCTAAACGACTCTTTGCCAAATCTAGATGGAAGCTCTCTGCAGATTTCATTCTTTTATGTTGCATTCATAAGTATTACTATATCAGCTAAAATCACACCTCTTACTAATATAAATACAACACTATAAAACGTATGTTTGCACCAATATAAAGTATGATAACAACAATAGTTAAAAATACACTGATACATAAGTGATTTGTAATTTGCACTGTGCCTTTAATTTTTAAATAGTAATTTGCATTAGTAATGTGCCATGAACTGAATGTGACAATATTTCTTAGAAAGTTAGTTATTAATAGTTAGCTTATAAAAACCTTCACTAATTTTTAGTGCTACATATATGGATGGTGAGGTCAATAGGATGATGTGGACGAGTATGAATTTATGCCAAAGATCATATTTATACAGAGGATGTTAAACATCACATTTAAAATGTTAATGGTTTGGCATAAGCTCCTGAGCAACCCCCACTACTAATACCTTATGTATTTGTTCAGTGACTTAATTTCAGTGGTTCCAAATACTTTGCCTTTGGCAATATTTTTAAGTTTCAGATTTGTCCATATGGGGATATTATGATTGAGTCCAGAGAGAGACATTTATCATGTTGATCTGGCCTCAAAACAAATAGATGTACCTAGAGAAAATGTTGTCATTTCTTGAATTATAGCCCCAATAGGGTTTTTGCAGTTTGATTTTTCTGAAAGGTCTGTTACAAGTGCTGTGTTTTTTTCTAAACTGTTTTATACAGTAAAACCTACATGTAGCAAAGTATTTTTTCACAACAAAAGCATTGGTTTGCAATGTTAGAGACAGATGTGTTTGGCAACAGATTATGTCCTTTTTCCTTCGTAAACTCAGATTATATTTGAGATGCCTCTGGCAATACTAGTTGTAGCCTGGCATGGCATAAGAAATTATCTGCAAAGAGGCTTATTCGTTTTATTCAGTCACTCTAGAGCTTGCAAAAGACTGAATGAGCAGTCTGTATAGTGAGATATACTAATATCATGTAGAGACAAAATCAGAAAGACCGAAGCACAAAATGAGATACAATTAGCAAGCGACATAAATTCTACACACAGAAAGCCTAGGGAAAGCTAAAAGAGAAGAGAGAGCTAATAACAGATGATACAAATAAACATGGCTTTGGTTCGTGGAAGCATTAACTGCAATTTGATAGCTAAGCATCACTAATGGCAATCATGCTAAAAGGGAATGAAAAGGTTAAAGATTACTCCAGTTTACTGGTCCTGATGAACTTTTCACTTCCCTGCTTCAGACACAGTCTGAAATAGCCCTGCAGTCATTAGGACTGAAGAGGTTTCAAAGAGTCTGTGCTGAGGAAGGAGCGAGGAGGAGCGCTGGGATGGAGGATGAGGGGATTGTGGGCGAGGCCACCTTGCCTTGGTTCCTGGAAAGATACAGAGGATATTAAACAAAATGGGTTAAGTAACAGATAACATGGAATTTGTCATTATCAGCCTTTTAAATAAGACTAATTTAATTCATTTGCAGGAAAACAGGCGTTGTGAGTAGAGGAGAGGAATTAGATACAATCAGAAATCCTGAACTTAGTAAAGCTTTAGGTGCTGTTTCAGAGTACATTCTCACAAACAAATGAAGGAAATGAAGTAAGGTGCTTGACTGGTTGGTAGAGTTATCAAAGACTAGCAATCAATGGTTTATTAGCCTGAAGGGATATAACAGGGAAGGATATATTTGCACAGATACAAACTGGGAAATGATGAGGCTATTTTGCAGAAAGGAGACAGTGTCTAAGGGGTTGTAGTGCCATTGCTGGGCCAAAGCATTTTCCCAGTGTTTTGAAAATGAAAGTATCACATGTAAGTCTTTGAAAGTAGTTATCCCATTCTACTTTTTCATGTCAAGGCTTTAACTTGAAGACTTCGGGACATCAAGTTTTAGGAAAGATTTGATGCAACTGGAAAGAACACAGAAAATGAGACCAAAATCTCAGGGTACATCTATGTTTCCTGCTAAGGAGAATAGCCCTTGACCGCCGCCAAAAAAGCAGTCACTTGCCATGGAGATAGCAAGTCTGCAAGGTCTCTGCCCACACATCCCTCCAGGGATGATCAGACGTTGCCCACACCCAGGCTTCAGGCTACCCACCAAGCAATGGTATGGCATAAACACAGAGCTCCCTGACAACTGCTGTATTGATACAGTGTCAAAGTTAACTCCAGCCAAATTTTGTGTCATTTGATGAGATTCTTTTGCATTGTAATAACCAGGGTTCAGTAAATACTAGCAAAATATTTGCTTTTTCAGCAAAATTTGCCTCTCCCTCAGGACTTTTGCTGGTTTTGCACTAGCAGTATTTATTTAGACAAGTCTACTTCTGTTGTTATAGCAGTGTGACTCCCTATGTGGGAGGACACTTGTATTTTAGCTTACAACAATTTAGACGGACTAAAATAAGTCATACAGGTACTTATACTCTAAAATAAACCTGTCTACTGGGGTTAATTGGTGAAATATCACTGCTTTAAATGATAAAACCTTCCAGGCGGACATATCACCAATAGTTATTTTGAAGCCTTCATTGCTGTTGGGCATTGCAGATTTGTGTCTTTCTTCTGCTTGGTCTGAGCGACACAGCAATGGATGCATAAAAAATGCAGAAATATAGGAATTAACACTGGTTGCATCAGCAATAATGGCTGCATTTTAAGGTTAGCAGACTGGAAGTAGTTTCTAATTACATGACTGGCTTGCTGTGGTTTACTTTAAAAGAATGTTTAGTTTTGAGGGCCATGAAAGTGCATGGAAATCCACTTAAGCTTTTCAAGACTTTTGGTTGGTTTAAATTATCACCATAGTTGATGGTTGTAGTTTTAAGGTGTGAAACAGTGCGTCATGTGTCAGATTTTCTTGTGTGCTCAGCCATTTGTAGAAACTCATTTATAATTCCCATATCAGCTTGGCCCAGCCTGCGCTAGACCTCCCTAGGTGCTTCTTAGCTTGCGATAATTTGTTTTATTCCCTAACTCTGCAACACTTAGGTATAGCACAAAGAGATGGCATTATGGCCCTTTCCCAAGTTAACCTCAACACCAAGGGCAGGTAGAAGCCTGAGAACTGTAAGGCTTCCTGTAATTTCCCCCAGCGAACTTGCAGACGGTTTCAGCAGTGCAAAATAAACAAAAGGGAATGGTGAAAACAGTGGTCTTGATAGCTTCAGCCTACATCTGCATGCATCTTCCTGCAAGACTGCTTTTGGCAATTGACATGGCGAAGGAAAACATCAGGAAAGTTACAATATTCTCAGCCTCACTTCATATTGGTATTTGTTTTGAACCAAAGAGACAGATTCCATGAATGCATTGCTTCCTTCAGGAAAGGACTGACTTTTTTTCATATCATCTTTAGAGATCTTTTGAGCGCTGAGGTCAGGCTGGTAGTGTCCTAATGGGATCACTACACATTACAGTTCAGTTCTATTTACCAAAGGTCCAATTTCCGTAGAAGTAACATACCCAGCTTGGTGGAGGAATGCTTTCAGATACTAAAAAGATATGGGCAGTTATGTGTCTGAATTAATAGTTACATAGAACCATGGTTAATAGTTTCATGCAATTATCTAAAATCTAGGAGCATCTTCATAAGATTTAGTGTTTCTAAAAAGCAAAACGAAAGTTTGCCACATTCACTTTTATGCAGTTGCAATAACTCCATGCTCATGTTGAGAAATATTCACCTCTATTTCATTTGGGTACCTGAATTCAAAAGTTTTTTAGCAAAATCCTATGGTCACTACTAGCCTATTTATCTGACTGACTTAGAACTTTTGGCTTGTGGATTACTTTAAAGGAGCACTGATTGGTTCCGTTATTTTTAGATAATGTGCTACAGATTATTTTGAAATACATAGAACTTTAAGTTAAAGTAATATTAGAAAATGTATTGTTCATTAGGATGTTTGAAGTATTTGCAGAAGAAACTGGTTTTGTTATTACCATCATGTTTATTTGTTTTGAAATTTCGAGGTGCATAAAAGAACACCAAGGCCCCATTCTTCTCTGTAAGGGACTAAAAAATAAATGAATCATGCATTCAAATGCATGTTCTCTTTCACCAACCATTCTTGGTCCTTTTAGTTATGTTGGGAGCAAAATGCTGAAAATTTTGTCCTCCGTCTGATAGAGGACTACTCTCACATGGACCGTGATAGCTGGGCCTGTGCTGAAATCCTGCAAAGTTTCTCCTTCTATTTGCTTTCTCCCCAAGGCCCTGATTAAACCAGTGAAATTGCCTTATAAAACTTCCTGGTGGTAAGAGGGTGTTACTTCCATTAGTTTGAGCCCTAATGGTAATGGATTGTTAACGCCAACAGTGTTTTCACTGCCTTTACCTATTTGGATCAAGGTTACATGGCAGTGGGGCCTCCAGCACCCCCAGCACAATAGAAAACGACCTTTAATAACAGCATGAGAGTTTTCCTGGGTAGGAAGGGTCCTAAATTACTGTTGCTCTCAGAGGTGTGATTATGATATGTAATACAGAAACTTCCTAAAGCCATTTCACGATTTAATCCATACGCTGACACTAAATTATGTTCTTAAGGGAAAAAACATTGCAACGCTTACTTGATGATAACTAGTTCAAATTCAACCCACACTAGTCATGGACCAATCTACCAAGTCTTTATGAGGAAGTGCCCAAATGACACTTATTTGAAGGAAGGCTAGTGATGGGGTTTAAATTAGGAAAACTCCAGCCATAGATCTCTGGTGATGAGCCACTCTGCCACCATGTGTGCGTGAATATGGAACTGCATTGCTCTGGTGCCACTTTTCATTGTCCCCACCATCACCTTACTATGTGAGCCCCACAACAACAGAAAGACAAGGGTCTGTATATTTAGCACGTATTTCTACAAGCAGAGTTGTCATTTGGCTTCTGGCAAAGCCATGCTGTCTCTTAGCAGGTGCCGCAACCTTCATTTCTTTTGGAAATCTATTGGCATATCATAGGCAACTGTGAAAAATAAAGATTCATACTGTGACCATATGATTCACCCTGCACAGATTGCAGGGTGAAGCTGTAGGAAGGTTAGAAATGGTAAGGAAGGACTTCTTTCTGACTTGGACAGTCTCCAAATTACTATTGACCCAGCCCAGAGCACGTCTAGATGAAAAATGAATGTGCAGCAGTCAATGTCCTATTGTCCCCTCCAATGAGTCAAGCATTTATCATGAAAGATATATTAAAAAGTATTAAATGACCTTGTTATGCACACATATCTAGACCTTTAAAATTTGTAATTCTGAACAGTCCTGTTTACTGTATGTCCTTAGGGATTTTTTTTGTTTTAACAGCATGCAGCTTGACAGAAATACACTACCCAAAAAGGGATTAAGGTATATATTTTTTTGAGCATGACTGCTACTTCTCTGTTTTTCTGTAACTTTTTCTACACTGTCCTTCCTTTTCTTTCTTCTTTTGTTGATCCTGTTTACAACAGAGTTCTTGGTACTTAAATTCAAACCACAAAACATAGATTTTAACAATGGACTTCTTCTTTCTGAGTCTGCCTAGTAAAAAAATTTCCTTTCAAGATATATCATGGAAAGTGAACACTGTTAAGGATAGTTTCCTTACGCAATGAATCTTAAAAGGCATTGAATCCTGGAGAGCTAAAAGAGACAGAACAAGATACTTTTGCAATTCAATGGGACTAATTGTTGAAAACATTATTGAGAAAAACAACATTTTAGAGGTGGATCTGAACTTGAACTCTCAATGCAAACAGTCATGCAATTTGAATTGAAAATCTAGTAAAGGCTAAGGCTAGAAAATACTAATTTTAATATCCAAGGTTTGTAAGTATAAAATGAGCCCTGCTCCAGCTAGTCTTCTTAATCCCTATCCAGCAATACTCAGAGTCCAACTTTGCTACTAAATCCCCACTAACGAGAGCTGCCTTCAACACAGAAAACAGAAGTCATCTACCCTCTTCTGCGCTCCATGGTTAAAAGAGGGGATCATTAGTTAACTTGTCTGGCGCGGCAGCCTATCTCCCTAATCCAGGAAGGAGATTTGGCAAGCAAGGGTATATGTGCATGCACACAGACACTCTGCAGCCTTCCAGTCACTGAAATCACATAGTTAAATCTCTTGAGTTATTGATAAATAATATTTTATGAAATTTTAAGTTAGTGCTAAAGTGTTGTCACTAGATAGCACCTTCTGCTCTTCTGCACTATCCATTCCTTAAAAAGAATTTAATCGAATTTCCCATTATCCCAAAACAATCACTGTGGATTGGGAGAGAATGGAAAAGGTGGAGGACATGAAAGAGGCATAAAGGGGACCCTGCAAGGGTACAATGGGATGATTGAGGTTTGTGACTGTACGATTGTAATGGTGGCTGAAAGCTGAAAGTGAAATGGAGTGGGAAAACAGTTTATAGGCATGTAATCCTGATCAGTTATCCCAGAAGGACCGTCAGTGTGATTTAATATGCAGACATCCCAGTCCAAGACCCAGATCCTGAATTCTCATTTTGTCATCTTTCGGATCCGATAACCACTGGGTAACTCTGCTCTACCACATTTATAAGCAAAGATCATAGCTGTCTTTTTGAAAGGAGAAAGGAAGTAAATATTTAATCAGGACAAGATGTTTTAATGCTGTAAAATATTGTACAAAATCCCAAGCACAACATGAGAACTTACATGTTCATTTAATCTGCTTTCTAAGCAGAAATACTTGTGCCTTGCAAGCCTGAAGCCAGAGTATCAAAAGCCCCATCTCCTCTGCTGTTTGGGGAACACTGATGGCTCATGACAGTGGTGAAGAAGGTGCTCATTTCTCAGCAGGAGATTGTGCTGAATGAAGCAGGCTATCACAGACATTGCTGAAAACAATCTCTTGGTTAAGACCCACACTGCCTGAACATTTTAATATTTAACCATTGCCAGAATTGCCCTTCTTCCAGGCCAGCCAAAAGAGGCTGGGCCAGTGAGTTACCAGTTCTCCCTCTTAGCACCATGTGTCAAGTTGCACTTGTTTTATTGGTTTGCCATAGGAAGCAGTTGATGAATGATTTGATTGCCAGACTTCTTCCTTCCAGAGAACTTGTTTCTGCTAATTGCGGATTTTTCCTGTCCCTTTCCCTCCCCCCAGTTTGGGGCAGGACACAATGCCAAGTAGCATTCAGAGCGACAGACCGCGTGTATGACCATGAGTAGCTGTCACTACCAATGCAAACTCCTTTTTCAGAGTTGTCAATCTGTTTCACTCCTGTCATCTAACCAATTGCCCACATGATCTATGGCAGATGTCATTTTGTAAACAGCTACTCACATTTCTTGGCTTCTAGTCTGTCCATTCCCCATCCCAGACATACAGCTTCCAAGCTTTTGCATCAGCCTGTACACTTCCTATAGCTTTGAAGTCCTTTCCTGTCAACTCAGTTGTCTGTCATCTATGGTTTATCATCGTATCTCTTCAAAGGAAGGGAATGCTGTTTTGGGGAGGGGGATGAACGTGAAAGGGTTTTCAAGTCCTGTACTTTTTCTGTTGTAATAAGATGGTAAATTTTACCCTGGTGATAATCACTTGACTAGACTTGATGCTTTCCAAGGGTTTTGTTCTATCTAACTGGTGAAGGGTATTTATGACACCTGTTTCTTTCCAAATTGTCACCTTGTCGTTGTTTTGAGCATGTCAGCTGTGGTTTTTCAGATATACTCCATCATCCCGGCAGACGAGTCAGGAGGAAGGCAAGGAGTGGCTGCGCTCCCATTCAACTGGAGGCCTCCAAGACACTGGCAGTCAGTCCCCGCTTGTTTCTCCTTCAGCTATGTCTTCATCTGCAACTGGAAAATATCACTTTTCCAACCTGGGTAAATGCTGTTTCCCTTCCCTGTTTCTCCCGCTCTAGAATAGAATCATAAAATTCAACCGTTCATATTTCTTAGTTTGCCAAACTAGATCGTTTATTTTAATATCTCCATCACCATATTGTGGTACCTCACTAATGAAGGGAAACTCACGGTGTTTTTCATGGAGTGGGCCAGGGTACCTCCTCTTTTGCATATGGAAAAAAAGCACAGATTCTCTATGACTTGCCCAAGGAGAAGAAAATCTGAGGCAGAGCTGGAAATTGGCTTGTAGTTCAAAGCTACTCATCTTTTAGGGTTCACAGTCAGTAGGATTCTTTCCAGTGACTTTAGTGAATGTCAGGCCAGACACTAAATATTACTTTTTTCCTATATACAGGTTTGCTTTGAGATAGGCCTTTCCAATGCATTTCAGCGGCTGGACCTGGCTATAACTGCACTGGGCCCAATCCAAATCCCATCCTTGAATGCAATATAATATTTTAGGACGTGAGTCACATTTCAGATTTATTTGATTACAGGTCAAGATTTAGATTTGGTTCTTCTGGATCTTGTTTCAAGTTAATCCAACACAAATTTAGTTTTGTTAACAATTTTATTTTTTCTTTAGTGCTTAATAGAAAACCATTTATTTGCACCGTGCTGGACACACACCTAGGTTCACAATGACCTTTTGTGTTTTAGGCTCTTACTGTGGAATTAGCAGCAACCTTTGAAGCATTCACACTTCTGTCACTCTGTCGCAGCTTATGGCATCACTCAAAAGAAATTTGATCAGACGTACAAGTGTTGGTCTTTATTACATATGGGAAAAGAAGTTGAACAAAGCCACTTTTAAAAATGAAATTGAATCCTGGCTAGGCAAGCCACTGCTTTGGATTTCCTTCATGTACTTGCAGTAGTTTTAGACACAGAGTCTTAAGCAGAGTTTCTCTCACTCCATCATTTTCTGTTTAAAATTATCTTCTTTTTCTTTTTGTTCATAGTTCTTGTACTCACAACAGAGAGCAATAAGATCGGGGGGGGTTTAAATTTATTTTGTCATTGTCCTTTGCTTCTTTCCATTATCATAGCCTTGTGGAATAATTTGCTCTCATAACACAGCTGCTCTGGTAGTTTATGACTTAAGGCACATCTTGCATGATCTAAAATAAAAGTCCAAACACTGAGGCTGAATTTGGGTAGACAATCAGCTTTTTCTTCTAGGCATTGAGTTCATGTGGTCCAGGTGAACCATAACCAGGCTTTCCTTCCTACTCGCAAATAAATTTTGCAAAAGCTTAAAGTAGGTTCATCAATGCTGTTCCATATTTCAACCATGAGTGATCGGACTGCTCCTATTTATTATGATGAGATTCAACTGGCCTGTGCAGGAATTTTAACCTTATATAGTGGTTGGTGCTGTAGAAAATCAAAGAATAAATGTCTTGCATATGCCAATAAACTTTGGTCTTAACAGCAGTCGGTAATATAGGTATATAACAATAAAATACAGATACTGATTTATTAGAAGAGCTGCTTATAAAAAATACTTACTATTTCTTATTCCTTTTTAACTTTTAACTTTTGACTCTCCCCTGTTGATTTTCTGTCTTGGGCTGTCAAAGTGAAGAAGTGTGTATTCAAACACCAGTGTTGTTAGTGTTACCATGTGTTTTACAGGATTAATCTCATCCAGCTCCAGCTCCTCAGAGATCATCTGCTTCACCTTTCTGTGGTGGCTTTGTATGTAGGAATAAAAGCCTTTCATTTTCTCAACAGCATAAGATCCACCTAACCATGCTAGTCCTACATTACAATTTTGTGCAGAACCAAAATTCATTTAAAGGAAATGTGCTTCATTAATAAAGCTTTGTATTCCAGTGAGTCCAACCAACCTGTCTCAGTTTAACCTTCCTGGACCCAGTATGATGCGTTCAAACAGCATCCCTGCACAAGATACTTCTTTTGATCTCTATGATGACTCCCAACTGTGTGGCAGTGCTACATCCTTAGAAGAGAGACCACGAGCAATTAGTCATTCAGGTTCATTCAGGGACAGCATGGAAGAAGGTAAGACTGAGTTACTATTTGGATCAGTGAATAGACCCCAAAATAGGTCCCCGAAATAGGCCTCCAAAGTGTAGTAAAATTTTAAAATATTTCTTCTGCAACATAAAAACTTAAATAATTTTGTGAAGCTTTTTTTTAATTCTGTTGAGTTAGACTCACAGGACTTCCTTACCCTAAAGCGTGGAAGATATTTCTTTCACACAGTAATATGCAATGCATTTATACATGTATAAATCCTTTATCAGAAATTCCAGAGGAAAGGAAGCCGTACTTGGAAAATTATTTTATTCTTTTTGCCTCTAAATTTGAAGTGTCTGAGCATACCTTGACTAGTGTGATTCCACGCTTTCTTAGTCCTACTTCTGTATTTCCTTTTTTTCCCAAACGCCAGTGCTACTTAGCATCCCCTTCCTTTTGTAGTCATTTCATTTCCTCACTTCCCTACAGCCTCCTACAGCAATCACTATGTGAATTTCTGTATTTAAACTCTGTTATTTAATCTGACCTCAATACTTTCTTTATGCAGATATTACTGTTGGTCTGGTTTCTTTAATGCTATGTACACCACCTGGAATTTGGGGAATACCTTTTGTCTTGGTTTTGGTTTTTGTTCTTTTTTAACCACAGAGCATCTGACAACTCCTAATTAAATGCACTGTAACATTTTCTTCTGCCTAACATTTCTGGTAAATCTGATTATTTGCAGAATTCCCATAAGCACAAAGTTCTCACACCCTTTAACTAAAAAACAACAAAACACAAAAAAAACCCAAAAACCAAAACCGCCCCACTAAAATTTAATGGATATTCATTCTATAACATCATCTCATCAATCTTGCTTACTGCTAAATGATGACAATATCAATGGTCTTTATAACAAGAAAATAAGTCTTCCCCTAGCCCCAAAGCTCATAGTTATGAGATAAAAGGGGAAAAAAAAAAGTCCTAGGTGAAATAATGGACAACTAATACTTTTACTTTTCAATTCCTTCTTCTGTAGTTTGGATGATATGTCAGGCAGACAGCTGGGTATGTAATACTAGCAGTAGGGTGCAGGACAGATCAAGCTGTGAGTTGTCAGCACAGAGAGGATGGCTGACTGCACAGAAGCATATCACATAATTCAAGGACAGAGCTGACTGCAGACCCATTGCTGAGGAACAGGAGAATTGTCAGAGGAAACACTGGAAGAATAATAGAGAAAACAAGGCAAATAATTTATGCATAGAAAAAGAGGTGTTAAATCTAGGATTTCAGTAATGGGTCACCAGTGCCTTTGATGAAAGCTTTTTCATTGGTCATGTTTCATATCCAGCTGGAGTGGATCACCATGATCAACCTGGCTAAATGAAAGTCAATGCAGCAATAATAAACAGTTTTCAGCAGTTTACGGTCATTAGAGAGTAACATGAAATGATGCTGTCGGAAGGCCAAATGTATTTTATTTAAGACAGGAGCTCTGAGGAAGGTTATAGTGAAAGAAGTGAGGTAATGGGTAGAGCCACTGCATACGAGAGCAGAATGGGAGTTTAGCTGAGAGATTTAAAGCAGAGACTGAAAACCAAAGGTAGATTGAAAGCAACAGGATTTCAGTGGTCAGTGTACCACATCTTTGTAAATATTTGCCCAGTTACAAAATTAGATTTAAAGTCTATTTGGCTAATCCAAGTATTCTTGCATTGTCAGTTTGGCATACGGTAGCTATTAAAGCAAAATAATTTACTTATCAAACCCTGGCAGATTATAAATTTTAAACAAATTTATTTTGCAACAAAAATGAAAAGAAGTAATGGAATAAATTATCTTCTTTAAAATTCTCTGTTGGTGTATCCTTCATTAGGAGCGTCATCTAAAGCAGAAGGGGCAATTTTGTCTCATTTTAGTCTTCACTTGCCATTATCAGAGAGGCCAGGAACCCCATTTTTTGAGTTGAAGTCCTGCGACATTCATTCGGTGCTCTTGAGGCCGACTCCACTGATGATTAGTGGAAATATGGCACTATGTCTTGCAGTAACGCCTTCACACGGACTACAAATGCCAGCATGCATGGGCCTGCGTTGTGCTGAGGGGAGAAACCAGCTGAGCAAAGCCTGGGAGCTCACCCCAGGGAACGTGAACTGTTTTGCAAAGCATAGTCTCTTATTAAAATCAGTTTGCCCAGCTTTGGACAGGTATATAAACAGCTCAATTTCTGGTGTCTCTAAAGAGTGTGTTTATCAAGTGATTTGTTGTCAAAACAACAAAAGTGATGCTTGATTTGCTGGTAATAATACTGAATCTCACTGGCTCGCTTTCCTACCTCATTACATGGAAAGGGTTCTTTTTGTATAGAACAATCTTTTTAAGTGCAGGAAAAAATGTCAATAACTTTTCTATACTGATAGGTCATAATTGTTCTTCATGGAAGATTGGTTCTCATTTTAAAAAGATGTTTAGTTATTGAGCTACGTGGGGGAAGTCTTATGCTTTCATCAATATTTCATGTTATTTTCCTTTTTTTAAAGTACATGGGTCCTCATTATCACTTGTCTCCAGCACATCCTCTCTCTACTCTACGGTGAGTATTAACATTTTAGAAAAAAGTTCTACCTGCCACTGTTCTTGTTCATTGTTCATGAAACTTTCAATGCTTTGAGGTTTAGGATGATTAAAATTGTACGGCAATAAAGCAGGAACATTTATTTTCAACTTCGGTATTACTGTCATGCTATTTTAGAATACATTATTTTCATCTTTTTATGTGATTTTAAGCTTAGAACTGCTTAAAATCACCTAGTGTATATTTTGAAAGCTAAAAAGAAGGTAATGGTCTGGGAGTCTCTCTTTAAGGGGGGTCCTTATGCTATTGCAGTTGCTAATTTTGAGTAGGTTTGCTTATTTTCAGCTAGTTTTCTAATTGCACAATTTACAAAGTGTTTTTGTCGTGTCACTGTTCGAGGTACACTTCTTGGAAAACACAACTTTGCTTCAGGGTAAGGGAGAGACAATTTGCAGTTTAAATGTCTACTGATCTTTGTTGCAAATGACAGTATTTAGATATTCTTTCCAAAGAGAAGGGTGTCTTTAAAAAAAAAAGATTAATCTTAGTTAGATTAATTAGATTGAGTAATAACTGTATTCTAGCTCAAGCAGAAGTTCTGGTTTTGATTTTTTTTCTCTATTTTACTGTTTTGGTAACTTTTTTGAGATCTTCTGCGTAAGTAGTTGCTTCCGTTTTTCTGCTAACAAGAAATCATCCATATGGGAGGAGTTAAACATGTTTGGACATTCCCTCGCTGATACACAGCAGTTGCTTTGCAACCTATTTGCTAACTACAATTACATGCTGTAGTAGCCCTTTTTCACGGGAGGGCAACCCACTTTATCTGCTTTCATACCATGCACTCATGAATAGTCTGTTTCCGTGTTTTCAGGTGTTGAATAGTGTCAGCTGACATCCTGGGAATGACATGGACTCCTCTACCCAGAGCCAACACCAGTTCTTGCCTGGGAATACCGAGCCCATGCAGTCTGATGCATTTGTGCCATTTGGTAGCCTTATCTCAAAGCTAAACTCATGTTAGCTTGGAAAGTAGGTTGCATCCATGCACAACGTCTACCACAATGGTGCCTCTCCTAGTTCCATTCAATCGTACAGGGGCATGTCTAAAACATCAGGTACACAGGCATTAGGTTTGTCCAGGCCTTAGCAGCAAGTTGCAAGCAATTCCTGTCCAGATCAGCCCCAAATTATTTTGGGGAGGTAGAATGTACATACAGACGGGCTGCACGTAAGGAATGACTAACATTCAAAGCAAAGCTTCTCACTTACGTTTTGGTAGTTGAAAATAGTTTTACTACTATTTCCCTGTCTATGAGACACTATGACCAATTTGCATGGGGGGGTGGGGTGTCCAAAATTATAAATAAATCCTTGATATCAAATTTTAGAAGAATGGTATGAAACCGATAGATGGTAAAAATCAAATTGCAACGTGACACAGGATGCATTCAGTATCCGGTCAGTCAGTAATTCTGAAATATCTCTGCTCTGATGTTGTGTATTGTAGCAAGGGTTTACTAATACTTTCTATTTATATATCCTGCTATCATTCAAGATTACAGAGTATCTTGGAAATATTACCTAATCCCCATGATATTAGAGAACAGTATTTTTCTTGCAAAACAAACTTTAAACTGTTTACCCAAGTTCATACTGTAAGCCAGTGGAATATCTTCTGAAATGTCTGACTGTGAATTTACATTGCAGCTAAGCCCCACTCCTTAAGTTATGGATTATGTAGACAAGATAATGGAAGTTATAGAAAAATCTGTAAAGGGCAAGAAAGGAATTAGTATGACAAAATTACTGGAGTTGACCTTTTAGGGATGCTTTTTGATGAGAATTTCTTCTGCTTGATCCCTCTCATCCTATGAAAAAAGTTTAAACTTTTCAGCAATTCATCAGAAGATGCTGCACAAGTGGAGTATAGAAACATGAAAGGCTGGCAATCAGTATCACATCAGCAGAAAGCAGAGAACAATGTTTCATTGTTCGATGATACAGTGCAGTGCCCCATTTCCTCCAGAAAGGGATAGCTTCACAGGGTTATGGCACACGTAACTCGCTTTCAGCTATTACTAGATTCAAGGAGTACAAGAGCTTTTTTACCTTACTTAAGCAGGCCAAAATCACTAAGCAGGAATTCCAAAGCAGCTGCCTTTCCATAAGTATCTCAATCAAATATATTTATCGGATTTCTCAAGCATTGCCTTAAGCCTTGGTGCTAGTGGTTTTCTGCAGCCTAATCACTGGAGAGATTCAGACAAAGTACTAAATAAAGATCAAGATCTTTATGTATTATTACCAAAGGATAGTTGAAAATCTTGACGTTATTCTCTGAAGATTGTTTGTTTGAGAATTAGAATAGGAGATTCAGCTGCCATTGCAATGAGTAAGTCCAATCAGACAGAAGTTCTGCATTCACTAGTATTTTCTGTATGTATTTTGCTTTCTTCTTGATTTGCATTTGGGTTTTCAGGACTTACTTGAATAGACCGGAAATCTAGCTTGTAGAGGTATGCATGTAGAGACGAACATTTGGTTTCACAGAAAAGTATGCCATGTAAGCAGACTTAGTACTGACTGTAGGGTTGAAATACTGATTCAGTTTTGGCAGTGAATATATCTAGCTCTCCGAGAAGTTGAAAAAGATGTGTGGTAGTGTAAATTATGATAGGTTGTCTCCAATTTTAATCTCCTCCTGCTCAGTAGGTGAGACACTGCAATTTGCACATGTTTAGTTAATAGCTATATTTCTCGCACTGGCTCTCAGCATTAGATACACTTAGAATCCCTAGACTTCATTAACTGTGCTAAGCCAAGCTCAAAGGAGATGTGTAAGGACATGTCATTTGTATGTTAATATTTTAAGTCTTCAAAAAAAAAAGAAAAAAATAATCCTTACAGGGATGGGGTGCATGGATATGATGGAGAAGTAGAGGGAGAAAAAAAATTATTTCCTTTTAGAGTCTTATGAATAATGACTGAGTGCTGGGTTACAATGGTATCAGCATGAACTCTTAAATAAAAACTGCTCAGATGTATTTGGTTGTCAGATTTTATTCTTTAAGTTGATAATATGCCCAGAATCCTGTTCTTTCTCTTTCATTTACTTATTCCACTGCCCACAAAAGTTGACTTGTGGGAACCACATCTCTGAACTCTAGGAGAGAGGCAACGCTTCCTTGTACAGTGAGGGAGTCATCTGGCAACAAGATGTAGCACTGCCTTCATCAGCGGGGGCTGGTGGTCTAGGGACGAGGGACCACATCCCCACATGGCAGTTTCAGGAAAAGGTCACCAACCCTAATTTTTTTTTTTTTTTTTCCTTTCTTGGCACAGTAGAATTCATAAGGGGACATGGTCTTTCTTGATCCCTTTGTGACTTTTCATGCACTACGTTTGAAGTAACAATAACGAGAAATTCAGTTTTTTCTGTAGGCAGATCTCCTTTTTGCGAACACAGATCAGAAAGTTAACATCAGTATGTGTGTCACATCAGTGCTGGCAAATAAAACAATCATTATACTAAATCATTCCCATGTAGTGATGTATCGGGTATTACAGTAGTTTCAGCCAAGAGCAGTTCTAAGTGTTGCACAGGGAAATATCATAGCATCGCAGCCTTTTTAGTAACTGTTAACAGATAAGTATGTATGGAAAGAGGCGTTTTCTAAAAGTCTTCTCCCCCTACACCAGGTAAAGTAAGGAAACATTTTTATAATAAATTACAATTGTAACAGCACAAAAATTGTGCTTAATACAGGCTTAAAAATCAGCTATATTAATTTGTAGTAACACAGATACTGCCTGATGTCAGGGAATCTTCTGAGGAACTCTTACCTTGGGTTTTCTTAGCTTTTCTAGTGTTATTTATAGCTAATTCTTCTACCCACATTTTCCTTTTACTCCTTACTTCTTTTCCAATGTTAGACTTACTTCTTTTCCAAAGTTAGACTGCTTCTCTGAACTTGGGCCGCCTCAGATCATGGGGTGGATTGATTTCCAGTACATTAACTGATTCTTATTTTATGTTACAAAAGGGTTCCTCTCTCATGGCACGCCATTCCTTTCCATTAGAATCCCACTGAAGCAAGATCTCTCTGTCCACAAATGCCTCCTAAATTAGACTACTCCCGTGCTTACAAATTTAATGACTTTCAAAGGTTTGCCTTGCAATTATTTAGTTTCTTAGCTTGTTGAAAAAGACTGCTGAGTAAATAGCATCATTATATGACACAATATATAACAATATGGAAAATATCTAAAATTATTGAATATTATTAGCAAGTTTAAGCTGAAACTTTAACATGCCTTGATAGCCCTTAATATTTTGGTCAGTACTCTGTATGGAAGAAATTATTTTAAAGTGCAGGTACCCCTCTCCCTTCACCTTCCCCCATACATACTTTACTGGTATGCTGCCAACTTCTCTTAGCAGGGATTAGTCTATTAGGAATATTGCTCAGTATACAGTAAAGCAAATGTAGTTCCAGGAGCCATAATAATCATTACGGTGTAAAAGTTTGCTGGTAACAGACTAAGGTCCATGCAGTGACAGCATAGCAAATTTTCTTTTGTATCTTAGAAATGTAGCTGCAGTTTCTGTAGTTCTGTTCCTGTTCTCCCTTTATCTACTGTTTCATGTTGTCAGTATGCTGGCAAACTCTTTGGGGTTTCAGCTGGAGCCTTGCCAAGTAAGTTGAAAAGAATTCCATTTATTGTTTTTACTGCATACCTTCCTTAAATGTAATAGATCCGTGAAACTATTCATTTCACTTCAGTGTAGCTGGCTTTTATTTTCTATTACCGCAATTATGTTGCAGTCTGTTTCTAAGCCATTTCTTCTTTGTTTCCTTCCAGGCAGAAGAAAAGGCACATTCAGAGGTAAAATCTTTTCTTCATTTCTGTAGTTGTGTATTGCATTATATTATTTTAAAGTTTATTGTTTATCTGCAATGGCTAAATTGCTGAGTCGCTGGGGAAAAGACACCCTGTGTCTTTGTACCTCATTTTGAGAAGAATTGGTAAAGAGCCGATGCAGCTTCTAGTGCACTAGAAGGTGTTTTTTTAGCATCGTGCTGAAGAATCCCTCCTGGCTGAGGTTCTGAAAAGGTGAAAAGAATCAATGAGAATCAGGCTTCTGAGTGGAGGAGTTGTGATACGTCTGATTTCAGACTTAATACCACTCTGTACTGGATCTAAGGGACTGTGCAATTCTAGGTAATGTGCTGCCTTTCAGGAGAAAAATACTTCAAATGTTCGCTTTGAACTTCTCTCCCTTACATTTTGCATTATATTAAATTTCTGAAGCTGACCACTTTGATGGATTTCATAGCAACGCGGATTGATTTCAGATATAAATCAAATCTGACATGGAAAACAGCTTCTTTCTCCTCACAGTGTATAAGAATGGGTGACAAGCCCAGGTCAGCAGCTGGATACAATTACAGCCTTTCTCAAAATGAAGTCCTGGTTGTATTAAAAGGGCATCAAGGAGTAGCAGCAATAAAATGCAGCACCAAGGGGTGCACTTCCACTTCACAGAGCCACATGCCTTCCAACTCCTGTGTTTATGCTGCTCCTACTTTTACTATTCTAATCAGAGAAAAAGTCAACTCAAAGATATTTTGAGGAAGTCGAACAAATAAACATATTCTTCCTTACTTGCCGCAGCATATTTCAATATAATTTCTACCTGAATTTTCTAAGCTCCTTTCTCTGAAAGTTAAAGCAAAGGAGCTGAAAAACATGCCATAGCTCAGTAGTGTAAATGACAATTGCTCATTTCATTGCCCTTTATATAGGGCTGTATACAGAAGTGAAACAACATTTCTTTCCTGTGTATTTCTACATGATGTTTTCTCAGTATCTAGGTCTCCTCTGTGAGGCTCTTGCAGGAGATGTTGCACAGCACTTCATGAGAACTACTTCTGTATAGTTGCAGGAATATGATGAAAGTGCAGCTTAAGCAGGAAGGTCAAATAATTGCTATTGAAAACCAAAGAGAAAACTTGGAAAAAGGAACGTAGCAGTCCAGGATGGAGAACAGCTCAATAATGTTTCCTTTGCTCTGAGCTAGCATAAATGACCTAGCTATTTTTCTATCACAGATGTACAGGAACTTGTTCATTCTTAACGCTTGTGCAATATTCCCTGTTGGCTTTCATGGGAGTCATAAAATTAAAGTACTGCAATAGTCTTTACTAGTGAATGTTACGTGCTCCCTTTCCTATGCTAGTTTTAGACATTTTACTTCTCTAGTCTGGAATAATTTCTTTTATGTCTGAGTATGAAAGGGGTTTCAAAGTGAAACTCCATGCTGTGCTTAAGTTCAGTGCAATGCCTGGAGTCCCTCTAAGATCTCAAATAGGGTTAAATGAGCTTAAAATGATGTGCAAGCTTCATGCTAGATATCTATCCTACCTGAAATGTAAACAGATATTTTTCTTAAGGATTCTGTTTTTCATTAAAGGATACAGGAGCCTTGAATTAGGTATATTTTCATGTCAAGAGTCACATTTAAAGCTACATATTTTTAAGTTGGCCAGCAAGTTTTTGAAAGATATATAAGGTTTAAAGAGGCTGCATGTTTGAATCTCTGGGACTGTAGGAAATATTGTATTAGAGAAAAAAAAAATATTACTATACCTCATCTAACTTTAGACATCCACGAAGCAAAAAGCTGTGTCTGAGGTAGTCATCGAAGCCTTCTTCATGCCAGGCAGCAAGGGAGTACTTTTTGGCAGTTCATCTGAGTCTAATGTAGACATTTAACATATGTTGGTTGCATCATGTCTACAGTCAGGCAAAGTGAACCTCACTCAAATTCTTTCATGTTTCATAATCTCAGATCTCATCCAGGGCTGCTATCCTTGATTGCACTAAGGCTATGTTTGGAACTTACGGAATTTGATAAAAACCCATGGTATTTACATGTGCAAACAGCGGATTGTACATATGAAGTAATTAAGCATTTGCCTGTATGTGCTCCCTTAACTGGGATCCTAGCTCATCCACTGGTTAAGTGCAAGAAAACAGCTGGAGCAGCACTAAGTGCCAACTCCTAATAATTTGTATTTCTGAATAGTTCTGAGATTAAAATGTGAAACTAAGATACTGTAAACCTATTAGTGATCCCTTAGGAAAACAAAAAAAAAACCACAACAGAAGGTAATTGCTGAAATGCTGACAGCAGTCTTTTTTTTTAATCTAGCAAATTCAGAAACTACGGAGAGAGCTGGTTGCATCACAAGAGAAAGTTGCTACCCTTACATCTCAGCTTTCAGCAAATGTAAGTATTTTTGCTTGTGATCATAAACAATATCAGAGAATACATTATCAAATTGGCTACTGGCTCTTACTCAATTCAAGTACCAACACGTGGTCTGGAAAACTTTTACTATTTATTTATTTATTTTGGTGTTTTTCAAATTAATTATTTCATTAAGTGTCTGTACTGCCTCAGCTTCAAGCAGAAGAAATCTTGTAATAAACACAGTGGAAATAGAAATGAGAGTTTCCACACTTTGGAGGTGACAACAGTCCTATCCAGTTCAGTTTCACTCTTTCTTCAGAATCAATTAAAAAAAAAGCCCAAAAGTAAGGAGACACAACCAAAGAAAGGGCATGAATTGCAAAAAATTCTGACAGAATTCATTATAGTTTCATTTCACAAATATAAGCCCTGCAAAACACAGATAGATGTGGAGGGAAGAACAGTATAGAATTGTATATAGAATTCGTATGCTGCAATAACTATGCTGTTATGTAACCAATGGAAACTGGGCTATTTCACAGAGAGCTCCCTGGTGTTCCTTCCAATTGTCATACACTGGTAATATGAGTTATTGAACATGTTATCAGAAAATAATGCCGGATAGGGAATGTGAGCTACAATCCTGTCTGGTTACTGTGGTTTCAGATGAAGTTACCAGATAGTTACTGAACAATCTGTTGTACAGTGATTTTTAAATGCAATTCAGGAGATAACTATAGTTACCATTCCCAAGGAAAGCTGAGATGCAGTTGCCAGAGAGTATCATTTTACATTTCAGGAAAGGAGCTTCCTGATGTCTTGGGCAACCTATAAAGTGCCTTTCTTCAAAATGTAGATGTGCTGAGTATTTAGATCTATAAATACTGCCATTATTTTCAAGAAATTATTTCAGATGGTGAAGTAGTACTGTGTTCATGTTGTGGGAAAATAATCTCTTGCTGTGTGAAAGCTACTTGTTCTCTTAGGACTGCCACACGTGAAAATGTGGAAGAGCTACCCTTAGCACTTTCTGCTCTGTTCAGGTGGCTGCAGAACACATGTGGGTGTTGGTACCGCTATAGCAGTATGGGTTGCCAGTCTGTCCTGAGTTCTGAGAATGAACTAGTGAAACAGACAATATTGGAGTCCTGCAATGTTTGTAAATTCAAAAGCTAGATTCTGGGTTGGGTTATTCATTCGGGAAGTTATAGCCAGCATGCCTATCCTTAGTATGGGGTTCTATCTGTCATGTATTTTAGACACTGATCTTCATCTTTGCCAGATTGGGCAATTCTTCACTCACCCATCCTGAGAGCAACAAACTAAAACCAACACCAAGAGGTCAGAAGAGCTAAGCCAGCATGCCTCGGGTAGTCGTGTTTGCTAACAAGTCCGTTGTTCTCTGCAGGGCACTTTTCTTTCCACCCAAAACGCAGGGCTGCAGCAGCTCTGCCTTGCAGTGGGGAGCACAGGGAGGTGGGGCTGTGGCTGGGCTTGCAAGACAGCACAATCAGAGACATCCCCACATCCACTCTGAGTGCCCTGCTAATGCCCACGCAGCAGCAGCTGGTGTTATCCAGAAGAGTTAGCTTGATTCCTGCAAGCACCTGATCTAGTGAAAGATGTCCCTGCCCACAGCCGGGGGGTTAGACTATTGTTTGCCTGTGGTGGGCCTGTGCTCAGGTGCCTGTACTAGAGCTGGTGTGGGAGCCCTTCTGATGGGGATAACTCGGGCTCTTGGTACCATGCCTCACTTTACTCTCTGGGCAGAAAAACAGTTTGCCCTTCTCTCCTTCCACTAGTTCTGAACAGAAAGCACCAGCATATTCCTTCTTGCTGATGTGTTGAAAGGTGACTCTCTTTAGTCTCCATCCTTTTCCAGTCATCCCAGCAATGCTGTAGCCTATAATACAGTAACAAGTGCAATAGAGTGAGGATGGCAGGGCATTCTCCCCTGCAGCTGAAGCAATGAGGCCACTGTTCGGTTCGTTTGGGCCAATTGCATCCAATTTGTCCCCAGTGTTAGTTAGAAGTCATTGCCTATGTCTCTGGTCAGTATTCATTAGCGTGGAGTAAACACCATTCAGTCTGGTGTCTAATAACATTGCCCATTCCAGACAAGTTTTCAAAGTCAGCTCCAAGTTACAATTAGATTTGGTCCATATTTCAAAGAAAGTGAGTCAACCTAAAAATGGGTTGGCTTGGTTTTCACTCAAACTAATTCTGCTGCGTGGGTGAGAAATAAGTTGGGTTTAATCTGTTTAATTCATGTTGAGTTGGTTGGGGATCTGGTCCTATGTACTGCCTCTGGGCTTCTGAACACCTAATAAGAATACCCATAGCTTTTCTACTGATCTAATTGGAGGGGTAACATTTTCAACAGGACAGTTAAAAAATATATACATGTGCATCTGTTTTTGCCTATCCAGAAGTACCACGTTTGTAAACCTGTATGTGCTTGTATGCATATATATATATATGCACACACACTGTATGTTGTATAAAGGTTCATTTAATCACGTTCTTTTGACTGTCACCCACTTTCTAATCCATCTCCATGGAGACAGTCTTTAAACTCTAAACCTATGAGCAACCCTAAAGCTGATCCTTTTAGCACATGGGGTTTTTAAATGGTACCAGAGAAATCTTTCCTTTTTCCAAATCCCCAACATGTGGAATTTCCCTCAAAATTAAACTTGTCAGGAGCATGAAACTTAGAGGCTTCAAATTCTCCAGGCATGAACAAGGGCTTTAGACACCTTCACGATGAAAACAATCTTAAAAGAAAAGTAGATATTACTAGTTATTATAAGTAATTTTTTGGGGGGATGCTGTAATAAGGTATGTACTTTACAAAACTAAAAACTGAAAAGTATTTCACAATAAGCCTGGTTCTAAGTTCTTTCTCTGCTGTTTCTGGTACAGAAGATGTAAAGCATAAAAAAAAAAACCCACTGCCACATAAATCCAAAGAATCAAAAGAGACCCCTTAAAGATGTGTTAGTACTAATTCTGTTTAAGAACTTTATGTAAATAAATTCTACGAAGTATCACTTAAACATCAGGAGTAAAATCCAGCTTGAAAACAGAGTGTATATACAACCTTTTAATTGTGATATGGCCTCTGAAATTTAGTCTAATTACAGAACTGATATTTATGTGCCAGTGATTATATACTTTTCATAAAAATTCTGAGAGTAACTAACAAATGCTTTAATTTGACAAACTTATGACAGACCCAGGTGGGCTTCTAATTTTCATGAACTTGTACTTTCTTAGCAATGCTTTACTTGCATGTATTCGTTTATCATTTATCTCCTAATCTAAGACACATACGTCACCAGCCCCTGGCATTTAAGGAAGAAATAGTCCTAATCACAAAAGCTGGAATTTATCCTCAGAGAAGAAATCAAAAGCATGTTTTGTTCTCTAAATGGATACTACCACTGTGACCCTCATTTTGAGTCACATTTGCACTCCAGTAGGCTAAAACCTGAATGAGCAATAAGTCTAATGCAGAAAAAAGTTTGGTCACTCGGCCTCTGTCTCTGTACTTACATCCATCTCTGGCAGGCAGAGACCTGTATGACCAGAGTATCTTCTGCGGTGCCTTTGCTGACCAGAAAATTACTCAGTCATTTCTGATGCCTTTTCTATAAATGCAATCATCTTAGCTCCCCCAAATTTCCATACTTGCAGTGTCTGAAAATGGGCAGCACTTTTTTCCTCGCTGTAGTCTGGAGAAGGAAACTACTAATAGCCAGAAATCTTGTTCCCTCACAGTTCCTGTCAGGCTTGAATTTGTTGTTACCACCTCCCTTTGTAGAACTGAGCAAAAGTATTGTATGCGAGTGAAAAAAAGAGCATCTTATCCATCTCATTTCAACGCTATTCATGTCTGTCTTTGCTTCACCACAAAAGACTGTTGGTGACAGTAGTACATGTGTCATTAAAAGACTGTCAGGCTGAAATTTGACCTATTTCATCAAGCCTTTGCTTGATGTATTATTTTATATCAAAACCTGTCAATTGGAAGTTACAGCATTTCTCAGGCATTTTGGAAACATCTGCGAAGACTTTTCTTATTTGGTTTCATTTATTATTCAGGTTTTGTTGGCTGGACTCAAGTACTATGCTTGATTTCAGCAGTTTATTTCATTTGATTAACCCCAAAGTGTTTTGCCTGCATATGATTGAATTCAAGCAGGGTCCAGCTGTTGTTTGGATGCTTAATTTACAGGTTTTTTTCTGAGATTCTGGCTTTTCCCCTGGTGCCTGTTTTGATGTTGCTGAAGGGCAAATCTCAATACTAATTAAGAAGGGGCCTGCTTTCAGTGCAGAAAGTGTCCAACCAGCAGACTTCCTACGTGACTGACAAGGGCTCAAATTCCAGCGAGCAGCCTGAACCCAGCCTGTTTGGAGGCACTTTGATCAGTGCTTTGTACTGTATAAAGCTGAAGGGTGCATGCTTGCAAACTGTAGTAGACCCAGGATGCCAGTAGAAAGCGGAGGGGGTTCTCTGGCTAATACTCTTGTTTGGCCAGCTCTGAACCACTATCCTACAGCCAAACAACAAGATAATAGCAGGCGACGAACAGAAAAGGTCACCAGATGTACAGTTGCTTCTTGCAATCAGCCCGATCCCTTCTGGCCTCTCACACCTCCTTTCATTCAGCCGTGTCAGGTGGGAGGAAATTTATTTATTTACGTTTGTTTTATAAACCTGAACACCGCAGGTCAAATCGCAAAGTGTGTCAGCAGATAGTCTTTGGATATGCCAATGTCATGTTCAGGATGGGCTGTAAACCTAAGAGCTGAGGTGTTTGGGGTTTGGCTGGCTGGGATCGTTTGCTAAGAAGGAAATGTTTAAAATCAAATCTGTCATCTTAGCACTGAAGTCATTCCCTGAGCATATATCTCTTTGGCTATTTCCAATGAGAATTTCACATGTTAATAGAAGTCAAAATTAATCTGTATGTGATGGGTCTACAGATTAAGAGCTGTACATCATCTTCGTATCTAATATGTAGATCATGTTAAAAATGGGTATATTTTGCTGTAGGCATACTTCCAGTAATGCCCAGTTACTTAACTCTAATTCCAGTATATCTATTTCCAACTACAAATGCTGCATTCAGTTGTGAAGGTATATTTTTACTTTAGAATAAGTGTTATTTAAAGCATGTGCAGTATTCAGGCTATTTTGTATGTTATTCAAATGAGTCAGGCTTGAATTTGTTGTTACCACCTCCCTTTGTAGAACTGAGCAAAAGTATTGTATGCGAGTGAAAAAAAGAGCATCTTATCCATCTCATTTCAACGCTATTCATGTCTGTCTTTGCTTCACCACAAAAGACTGTTGGTGACAGTAGTACATGTGTCATTAAAAGACTGTCAGGCTGAAATTTGACCTATTTCATCAAGCCTTTGCTTGATGTATTATTTTATATCAAAATCTGTCAATTGGAAGTTACAGCATTTCTCAGGCATTTTGGAAACATCTGCGAAGACTTTTCTTATTTGGTTTCATTTATTATTCAGGTTTTGTTGGCTGGACTCAAGTACTATGCTTGATTTCAGCAGTTTATTTCATTTGATTAACCCCAAAGTGTTTTGCCTGCATATGATTGAATTCAAGCAGGGTCCAGCTGTTGTTTGGATGCTTAATTTACAGGTTTTTTTCTGAGATTCTGGCTTTTCCCCTGGTGCCTGTTTTGATGTTGCTGAAGGGCAAATCTCAATACTAATTAAGAAGGGGCCTGCTTTCAGTGCAGAAAGTGTCCAACCAGCAGACTTCCTACGTGACTGACAAGGGCTCAAATTCCAGCGAGCAGCCTGAACCCAGCCTGTTTGGAGGCACTTTGATCAGTGCTTTGTACTGTATAAAGCTGAAGGGTGCATGCTTGCAAACTGTAGTAGACCCAGGATGCCAGTAGAAAGCGGAGGGGGTTCTCTGGCTAATACTCTTGTTTGGCCAGCTCTGAACCACTATCCTACAGCCAAACAACAAGATAATAGCAGGCGACGAACAGAAAAGGTCACCAGATGTACAGTTGCTTCTTGCAATCAGCCCGATCCCTTCTGGCCTCTCACACCTCCTTTCATTCAGCCGTGTCAGGTGGGAGGAAATTTATTTATTTACGTTTGTTTTATAAACCTGAACACCGCAGGTCAAATCGCAAAGTGTGTCAGCAGATAGTCTTTGGATATGCCAATGTCATGTTCAGGATGGGCTGTAAACCTAAGAGCTGAGGTGTTTGGGGTTTGGCTGGCTGGGATCGTTTGCTAAGAAGGAAATGTTTAAAATCAAATCTGTCATCTTAGCACTGAAGTCATTCCCTGAGCATATATCTCTTTGGCTATTTCCAATGAGAATTTCACATGTTAATAGAAGTCAAAATTAATCTGTATGTGATGGGTCTACAGATTAAGAGCTGTACATCATCTTCGTATCTAATATGTAGATCATGTTAAAAATGGGTATATTTTGCTGTAGGCATACTTCCAGTAATGCCCAGTTACTTAACTCTAATTCCAGTATATCTATTTCCAACTACAAATGCTGCATTCAGTTGTGAAGGTATATTTTTACTTTAGAATAAGTGTTATTTAAAGCATGTGCAGTATTCAGGCTATTTTGTATGTTATTCAAATGATATATGCCATGAATGAAACTACTGAATCTAACACAGAGATTTCTAAGGTGTGAGGGATTGGCTGTAAATTTAAAAAAAAATTCTATTCCTAAATATTTTTATGAGAATGAAAGAATGGATCCTTTTGGATAAAGTGAATAATACTCAGAAACTGAGGATTACCAATCCAATCAAAATCAATTACCAAATTTATAAGTACAAAAGAAGTTTCTAGTTAGAATTTGTAATTATTAATAAGCATTTTTAAAGTCACAGTTACTTCTTTCTATTTGTTTCAATTGTTTTCTTTTCTGAATTATTTTGCATTTAACTGTTTAAATGCAAAGTCTGATCTTAAATGGGAATGTATATGTACATATGTTTTATGCATAATTCCACACACTTATAAATATACTGATAAATTAGTCTTTTTCAAACTAACTTTTCTTATTTTGTTACATAGTATTTCTTTTGGGACAAATCTGCATAAGATTTCAACAAGTAGGAGTTCTCTGGATTGCTGAATAAATAAACACTTGCTGCCATGGGGGAAGGCAGCACAGTTTATTACTCTGAATGTAAAATTAATACTTTGTATTTCATAGAAGAGTGTTTTGTTGTAAGAAACATTTAAAGTAATGAACAACGCGATTGAAGTTTTTTTCTTGAATAGTTTTCAGTTGATGGATCTTTAAATTATCTTTCTTTATTAGTAGCAAATCAAGACCTGATAGCCTTTATCTCAAATGGGTTATGAAGGATCCATCGTCTTGATCCAATTACATTTATGATGCAAAAATTTTAGTGTGTACTCCAAGAAGGTAATGTACTCTATTACAGGCTGAATTTTAGTAGGAATCCATAGCTGTGACATGGCTATCTTTCTCTAAAGACTATCAGACAATAACTTAATAGTTTCAGTGACCTTTGATGACATTTTTAATGATGCTTTTTAGTTCTTAATTTTTCCTGTGAGTCCCTTAATTTTTCCCATAAGTTCCTTGTGGTTTATTCATGTACAATATAAGCTGAAGTTGTAGCTATGGAACAGGAAAATACTTTGCACAAATATGCGTAGTTAGGTACCAAAGAACTGTGATTATCACAGTCGAATTGTGAGAAACAGACAAAAGCAATGCACAATTAAGTAAATGATTCCTCTTTTCAAACCCTCGGTCCCCATTGTTATTCTCATGTTAAAGCAGAACCGCGGGCCATCAGCCAAGCCATAGATTTTTTATGAGGCAGGGAACAGAGAGCTCCATTAGTTTCCTGTTAAACACATGTAATGAAGAGACATTTGGCTATAATTCTGTGGTAGTGCATCTACTTTGTCTCTGTTCTGGGTCAGTGGTCATCATCTTTGGAATTAAAACACCATAAATTAGTCTGGATATTTTTAATATGTAGCTAATTATTAAAGTGAACAGTAAGTTTAAAAACTAGTTACTTTTATCTTCTCAGAGGAATAGAATAGTGAAAACAACTGAAGGCTGTAGTTTCCAAACTAGCTAGAATAACTTTATATCAATTGACAGGTTTCAGAGGCGCATGTGACACACATTCCAAGTTCATTTTATTTAAACTTATAACTTCAAGAATATAGCCTGTTATAAATGTTACAGTAGGAATATACACAATTACTAATTAATCTTTAAGGAATTGCATATGTATCTAGTCCCATGTTTATCAAAAGTTAGTCCCTGGGGTATGTGTCCTTCACCAAAAGAATTATCCCTGAGGCACCCCTGCAGATGCAGAAAGCAGGTGGATTGACCGCTACCTCCATAAGAAACTAAATAAATTATTTGCTAATATAATTTACAAGGAGTAAACTTGTAATAAGGTTAATAAGCATAAAATAAGGAGTTTACAAGATACTGAAATGTTTGTAGCAATCCGAAATGATTTACAAAACACAAAAGCCACTTATCAGTATAACAGCTCTGAAGTGGAGACACAGAAGTGGGCCACTATTATATATATGTTAATCTTTTTTTATTTGAGGAATAATACACAGAGCAAGGTGGCAAGAAGCTCTTTTCCTTCTCCTAAAGTGCGTAACAGAATCCTTTTTGGACTATGTCTTTTTCTGATTATATCTCAGATTCAGTACAACCACATACATTTGAACAATTTCAACTATGCTTGTACAGGCATGCAAATCTGTAAGTGAAAAATTTGCCAGGCACTTTGTGTGCCTGTACTGGTACAAAAAAAAATAAATTTTCTCGGTGAGGAAGCTCAGTTAATCCATTTGTGCATATAAATATGTTGTTTGTGAGTTATATTTCCAAGTGTATTGTAGTGCGTACATTTGAAAACTTTGCCTATTACCACTTTTGAGACGGTAAAGGGAAAATAAGTATTTCCTTCTGTTTTTACTATTTGGTGTTGTGAGAGGAATGGAGGGAATTTTATGGAATTTCACAAAAATTAAATTCTTACTTTCCTTGGGCTTAGCTTGCTGGTTTCTTTATGACCACTTGTCCTTCTTTGCCTACAAAGCTTGATGTCAGTCAGAACCAATGAAGAGTTGATGTATTGTTTGTATAAATTTTGCTTGCATAGAGTATAGGGTGAATGTTGTTAGAAAACAAAATGAAGCTTTAATTTTTAAAAATCTTTTAATCAGTTTCAACTTTATTGCTTTTCTTATTGAGAAGTAGGACTTCCAATTTTCAAGATTGTTTTTTATATATACATTTGTACACATGTAAATATTTGTTTTATATAAGTTCTTTATTACTTTTATACACACAACACATACACATATATATAATCAATATAAGATGAATAGACTAAGTAACGACCTTTTATAAAACTAACTGTGATATTTTTTATTTGATTCTCAGGATTCTTCTGGAGTGTTTTATTTGTGAGGTTAAAACTTACCTTTTAAGAAAGTACTTGAATTCCCATGTTGAAGTGTTAGTAATTGCAAATAATTGTTCCTGGACTTCTCTTTGGGAGCAGACTTCTTTTGGCCAGTAAACTCAAAGCACGGCATTAAATCCATAATTCATTTCCAGGCAGAGATACCTGAGCTAATCTCCTTGGGGGCTAAAGAAGCCTGAGGAACACTGGGCTCGCTTGACTGCTTCACCTGTCCAACTTAGCTCAGTCTGAGTTTAAAACTAATAGAAAAGAGCTGGAGAAGATGAGCTTGGAGGGATAAAATATTTTTAAAAAACAAATAGATCTGGGAAAATTGTCGCATTGTCACGACAAATGTCTTCTGTTTCTTTCACAGGCTCATCTAGTAGCAGCTTTCGAAAAAAGCTTGGGAAATATGACCGGCCGATTGCAAAGTCTAACAATGACAGCTGAACAAAAGGTACGTTTACCAAAGCAGATGCTTTAATGTGGAAAACAGTCAGCAGATTATATTAGAGTTTTGTTTAAAAAACACTGAAAGGAAACAGGGACAGCTGTGACAATAAGACAGACAGATCTTTCTTTAGTGGCTGTTGCGATCAAATCTTCATAAAGCTCCAGGAGAATTAAACTGTGCAGCATCAGGTTTACCCAGACAATATCATAGAATAGTTTGAAGATAAAATCTTTCGTTGCCAGATTTTAATTAAAACATATGCGACTCTAGGTTTAATCCATACTGAAAGATCCTGTAACAATGAGTGATCATAACCTGCTGGAGTGCTTCATTCCAGCCTGCCAATGTTGTCAGAATAATAGAATTATGGGAAGGGAAGAACTTTAAGTGGAGAAAAAAGACTCCATTCAGAGTGCTAATGCAGGTTGGGTATCCTATTCATGAGGAAACAGTTATTGTTTTCACTGTTCTGTTTTGACTATTGGGGGAAAAAATCTAAACCTGATAGGTAGTAAATTTAATGTGAGCCTCTGTACCAAGCTCAGGATTAAGAGGCTGCTTAGCACCTTCCAGGATTGAACTTCTGCAACTTTCTGCCCTCATTCATTTTGAGCAGTATCCTATAAACAGAAAGGCCTCACTGAGCCAAACTGTGAAAGAAACTCTATATCAGTGTGCTATTAGTCACCACTGGAATCAGTGTAGCTGTCTATAAAAATAACATTTCACAGTCTGGTTGAGCAACAACAGATGAAATATGGTGAGACTCATTGTGAACTGGATAGAAAATATTTGTATTGCTTGCTTTTTTTCATCTTACACAAAAAAACCACAGTGGAATTTTCTTAAAATCCAAACTTCTGACTATTTTACAAAGTATGATTTCCCTCAGAAGGTTTTCTTTCCAGAAGAGGTTAAGCGGTGACATTGAAACAGATCATCTCCAAGCTTCTTTCCTAAAAGATTTGGAACATGTTCTTTTCCTTCTTTTCTTTTCTCTATTGTTGATGTTAAATTCCTTTAATCCTCATTATATAAATACAGGATGGAAGGCCAGGTTTAACGCAGCAGTAACAAAAGCTATTTTTTAATTAAAATTGGCTGTGCATTCTAATACAGAACTTCCTGCACTCAAATGGAGTAATTTATCTTCAATTCGCAGGACAGTTGCTATTAAACAGGGTTTTTAAATTGAATTATTATTTAGCAAGTTAAGTCTTTCGAAAAATACGCAAATTCAGGTTGAGATTCATCCATTAAACAGTAGCCTGTAACAAAAGCTATTTTTTAATTAAAATTGGCTGTGCATTCTAATACAGAACTTCCTGCACTCAAATGGAGTAATTTATCTTCAATTCGCAGGACAGTTGCTATTAAACAGGGTTTTTAAATTGAATTATTATTTAGCAAGTTAAGTCTTTCGAAAAATACGCAAATTCAGGTTGAGATTCATCCATTAAACAGTAGCCTCACATATTATGGCATGTAATTCAAATGCTTTTATTGTCTTTCACAATGAAATTGTTGGATTTCTCTTAACTTTATAATGGATATTCAATTGAGACCCTTTTTAGATTAGTCTTTATTAAAAATGTTTTGTTCACCTTAAAAATATCGTGAACACTTTATATAGAATAAATGCAAAAGGATATGTCAGTTGAGTTTAATATCTTTGGAGAGAAACTATGCATTCTACTTAGTTGTTGCCCTTATGTTCACCCAAGCAGTCCCATGAACTTCAGTTTGACCACTCTTATCTTGTCATTTTTTTTAGCTTAGACAAACATTGTTCTTGTGCCATATATTTTGGGCTCTCTTTGCTCTTCCCACAGGAATCTGAGCTTATAGAGCTAAGGGAAACCATTGAAATGCTGAAAGCCCAGAATTCTGCTGCACAAGCTGCTATTCAAGGAGCCTTGAACGGTCCTGATCATACCCACAAAGGTATGTTTTTGTCGCTATTAAAATAAATGCAGAGTTTCTCCCCGGAAAAAAAACTAAGTCACTACTTTTCTGTTATTTTGGGGACTCTGTTGCAAGGGCAAGCACATTCTGCAGCGCATAGTAGGCATACTTGTGGTATTTCCAGAGCTGGAAACCTTGCATGCGCTTCCTGTTTGCCACGGAGTTAGTTCTTGGAGCCTTGTCTTCTCAGAACTGGGTGGCCAGGAATTGATTACTGGGTGTCAAGAGTTAGCCCCGTTGCTGCAGTCGTGTACTGAAGTACGCCCAAGACACTAGTGAAGTCCTGTGGCTAAACTTGGTTATACCTTGGAAATGCAGTGTAAGATGTAGCTCTGAAAATTGCTGTACTCATTGTTAAGAGATGGACTGACAACAGCTCAGCTCCTTCACGAGGTGCTAAATCAGTGCAGGAAAGCAGGCGTTTTAAATTCTGAATTAATTTCTCGTTGCAGTTAGGCAGACATCACATGATAAATATATACTTCAAAAGTGCCTGTTGATAAGCAACAGCAAAGGAATTACTTGAAGAAAAAAAAAGATAGCAGCATTCATTTTTGAGAGTGTCATTGATCTTTCTTTAAAGAGGTCATTATTTAGATGTTTGCCCTAAGGTCATTTCATTGCATGATTTGAGTATAGCAAAGCTAACTTCTAGGAAGTAAAAAATAATCTAAAAAGTAATTTCCCTTGGTATTAGTGGGTATGTTCTCCAAGAATATTTTCCAGTGATTAAGATAAAGTTATCAGAGACTTTTAAGAAATTGAAACTCAAAAGCCTCACCAACCATTTCTAATACTCTCCACTTCTTGGTTATTTTGTTTCATTTATTTTTAATGAACTCCTGCCTGCTTATTTCAATCATGGTGTATTAGAAGGTAGCATTTGAACACTGATTAGGCCTGCTACAAGTTAAGTAGTCCCTATACTCCTCAGAAAAAGAACTGTAGTACATGTGATAGTAATAAGTCAAGTAATCCATCTGTAACAGAAACTGCTTAGCTATGAGGTTACGCCTGTGTAGATTGCTGTGTGGGATCGTCGCCTTCATGCCAATAAGACCTCAGTTTGGAGAAGCTCCTAAATGTTAGCCTAATTGTATGCATCCCCATTGACCCCCATGTGGTTTCTCACAGGCTGCAATAGCTTGAATCCAAGCCACTGCCAGGATCAATGCCATTTATGTTCATTTAGGCTCCCTTTGAGGAGGAAGATACTACATAAATACAAGAATGATTATTGTATTGAAACAGAGACAGATGGATTTCACAGTATTTTCTTTTCTTTAGATTTACGTATAAGGCGGCAACATTCTTCAGAAAGTGTTTCCAGCATCAACAGCGCTACAAGCCATTCAAGCATTGGCAGCGGTAATGATGCTGACTCCAAGAAAAAGAAAAAGAAAAACTGGGTAAGTACTCAGCAGGTTTAAACCTATCTTTTAACTATTATGTCGTTTCCTAGTGCCTGAGTAGCATAATGGCCCATTTCATCTACAATATTCTTGTCGGGCCAGACGGATACAAAGCAATTCACGTGTATCCATACTGTGACACTACCAGCAAACTAAAAAGTGTTGAATATCAGCGGAGAATTATTTGCATAAGTCAGGATAATTTAAAAACAAACAAACAAACAAACAAAAAAACCCTGTTGTGGCCAAAACCATCTCTGGGCCACATTGAAACCCTGTTTGATTTTTCTTCAGTCGGAGTTTGATTCAAAGGCTTGACTCCAATATGTTACCAGCTATGAAGGGAGTTGAAATCTGTTAATAATTCTCATGTAAAAGTAGTACGGTGTTTAAAGAAATTAAGATGCTTCTCAACTGGAACACACAAATACCACAGAGTGCTAAGGGTTTAATCAAATACTTTCAGTAAATAATTGGGAAATATGTTTTTGTTGTTTTAAAAATATTACCTGCATAAACATTTGTTTTAAAATACTGATCAGCCTTCATTCCCTTGATTTGTAATTCCACACTCTTTCATGTTTCTGCAAGGTGAACTCTAGAGGAAGTGAGGTGAATATAAACCATGGAAAATTTGGCATGCATCTATAAAGAACCCTATCTTGGCATGATTGCTATTTATTTTGGCAGTAGGCTTTTATACCTTCTGAAAACAGATTATCCTGTATGTCTTCTCAGTTTGTCTCTATTCATTTTAATCTCAAAGTACAGACTATAGAAAGGGGGAGTGTAGCCAAAATCCATTTCTTTCTCTTTAGATATCATGAGCTGGAAAGGACTTAAATAATGTTTCTCTGATCAGTGGTCACACTCCCCACTCTCCAATTATATCATGAAAATAAAACGTTTGAAGACCTCATTTTTTATAGAGGAACCAGCTTGTCTCTGAGTTCTATACAATTTTAATCAGAACAACTTTCTGAAAATAGAAAAAAAAAACAACTATATTTTTCCGAAGATGAACAACTGTATTTAGACAAAGGTATCAATGAATGGGCTAGTTAAAATTCACTGCAGACAAAACTGTTGTCATCTTGGCTCCTGAAATAAATGGCTCTTTGGCTATTCTGTCCCTTTTCGTTACTGGATAAGAGCTTCTAGAGGGAATAGGCAATGCTTGTACGTTCAGAGATCTTACTATTCTAAAGGAAACTGCAGCATAGAGTATATACCTTTCAGCTAACATTCCTCTCAGCAGTACAACCAAGCAAGCCTCATGTCCCAGCTTAAATCCTCTCGCTTGTGATCCAAACCATAGCATTTGCATAGTTTGGCCATTCAAATTTTTAACAGGGGAAGTAAATTGGCAAACCCAGTAAATTGGACTGCTTTTTTTTTATTTCAGCATTTAGTAACAGCAGGTTCTGCCTGTACCTGGATGTAAAGTGGTTATTTAAAGCCAGCCCTTGAAGGGAATGCCATGGGAATGGGATTCCACTGGGGCTTAATGGTTTTAAATGAGCACCCCTCTCCCATAGTCATACCACTTGGTCCTGCACTTTTTCCATAGCATTACGTTTGCGCTGCGCTGGATTAATAAAGTCAAAACAAAGCACTGTATCATGTTTTTAGAGATACTGTGTTGCATATGTTAATACCTTGCTTCTGTATACTGACCTCAGGCAGTGGCTAGGATGGCATCTGCAAACTAACTCTTCGAAACATGAGCTGCACACAAATTGCCGTGATGAGGAAAATAATCTTGTTCTGTATTTGTTTTCCAGCTAAGAAGCTCTTTCAAACAGGCCTTTGGAAAGAAGAAGTCCACCAAGCCTCCTTCCTCACATTCGGACATAGAAGAGCTGACAGACTCCTCTCTTCCTTCATCACCCAAATTGCCCCACAGCTCAGGAGAGTGTGGGGCAACATCAATGAAACCATCACAGTCAGCATCTGCGTAAGTCTCTCTCTTGGCAAACCTTTCTTCCCAAATGGGATGGACTGTGAAACAGACCTCCTCAAGTGTGGCCATTTGCAGTTCAGAAACCATTGCCAACAGCCGTGATCTTTTAATCTCGTGCTCCATCCATTTGCCAGATTTCTCGTGAGCTTCACTCCATTTACACACTACTTTTCCAGCAGTTAAAAACCCACCCCCCCCAGCCGTGATCTTTTAATCTCGTGCTCCATCCATTTGCCAGATTTCTCGTGAGCTTCACTCCATTTACACACTACTTTTCCAGCAGCTCTTTCTTAGGTCATTCACTTCTCCTTTCATAGCCTTTACCCAAAATCATCTAGCAGTACAAACTTCTTTCCAAATGTATATCCAAAAGCTTATGTTGTGCTCTCCCTGCACCATTTAACAACTTTATCATATCCACTTAGTGAAGGCCAAATGCTACAGTTCCCTTTCTTCATGACATACTAAAAATGTCTTTTTATTTTCCAGGTAGCTGTGAATTTTTATAAGATACTCATCCCTTCTGTTATTACTTTCTCTACTTTGTAGCTACTAATTTATATATTTTTTAATCTATTTCCCCTCTTTTTTCAGCTTGGATTTTTTTTCACAATTTTACTTTTTATTTTTTATTCAAATCACCATCTTTACGATGTCAGGGCTGAGAACAAGTCATCAGTCAAAAGCTGTCCCATTTCTTCTTTATTTTTTGGATGTCTAATATATTCTTCTTACGGAGTTCTCAGCTCCCATTCATATTCTTCTAACTAATTTTTTTTCATTCTGATAAACTCATAACTTCTTCCAATTTGGAGAAATCAGCCTCTTTGAACCAACAAGTGCATACTACTGATGCCAGCCTTGCTTTCCTTGTCCTAATTGAGAATAATCAGGTCACAACTACTCTTCCTTCAAGCGCCCAGGAAATTCTAGTCTCGTGACTGATTACTGAGCTTTAGAATAGAATTTCCCTGTGTTAGGTAGGTACCTTTTACGATTAACTTTTTATAGACTCTAATGATTTTTATATACTAGATTTAGGAGTTCAACAGCAAATATTCCCACAAAAGAAACCCCTCCACAATAAGTGTTTTTCTTTCCTCGCATTCCGTACAGACTAGTGAGGAGTAACTCATCTAGATCTCTAGTTCTGTTGAGCGTTTTATAGGAAGCTCATACTTTTATGGTTTCAGGTATATGTATGTTTTGGGAGAAGATTTTCTACATGTTTGGGACCCTTGGGTCTGATTTGTTATCAACTTAAAAATCACTAGTAAAAGCCTTAATAGAAAGTGCCTGAACTTAAACAAAACACTTTTATTCTACAAAATTATTTACTCATGATTCACAGATCTGCTTTCATAACCTTATCCTGTTTCCTTTCCTCCAACCCTGCTTTTTTCTCTGTCTCTTTGACTTGCTCTCTAGATGTACTGGTGTTACCAGAATTTACCAAGGGCAAAACTACATATCTAGTCTTTCATCCCAAGCTCTTCCCATGGCTGTTTGGTCTCTGAGCCTTAACTTCCTAAATTCTGTCCAGTTCACAGCCTTCTGTTTCTTCCTCCACAACATTTTTAAACACTGATCTTTCTGATCATATTATCTCATTTTTTATTACTGTGACCTTTCCACACAGGTAACATAGATTCCTTCCCTTCCACAGAGAGATCTCGTAAAATATATTTACTTAGATTAATTTCTTTGTCTGTTATCCTGTTAATGTTACTTTCTTTGGAAGACTCGGTTTTCCATTGCATGATTTAAACTACTGTCACCTTCAAGACTTTTCATAATTGTCAGCAGGCTCTGTTCAAAGATCATGACTTACTTATTCCTTCTACCCAAAGCAACCTTAAAAATCCTGAGATTGTAACAAGAAAGAAAAAGTAAAACTCTTTCTTTTTAACTACTTTGAACCTTTGTCTGAAGTCTGATCAGGCTTCTGAGCTTCTTTCTGTGACTGCTTAGGAACACTAACTTATCTTTTTGTTTTTCTTCCTTTTGATGAAGTCGCATCTTCTTATGTCATTTTAGAGTTGTAGGAGCTGAGTGTTGAAGAGCTCTGGAATCTGCAAAAGAAAATTCAGTTCATACTTTCTGCTTCTATTCTGCTTATCTTACCAGTCTAGACAGCTTCTTCCTGCTTCTTCCAGAACTGTCGCCCTGCTTTCTGCTTCATTTTTATCTTCCTTAAAGCTGGCTTGTCGAGGTCTTTTTGTCCATCTCTTCTCACGATGTACCACAAAAAAGCCGAAAAGAAAATAGCCAACAAATAGATACATGACTTCCCAGTTGTCCAAGCTGTTGTATGAGATAATATATGCATGTACACAAAATTTCATTTCTTATTTGGCTAGCATAGGTATGGGCACATCAAACCAAGAACTGTATCATAATATTTGGAAAAAAATCCTAGTATATGCCTTTATTCATTTTTACTCACATTTAAAATATTTGTGCATGTTGTGAATGATATTCATTATTTTCCTTCTTCAATTTGCCATATTTTTTTATTTGCCATGAACTTCTTCATCTTCCCTTTGCTTACGGTTTCTTTATATATTTTCTTGACCTGAGTCTCATGTTCTAAACCATTACCTTTACTTTCTTCCAATTGCATCTGTCTAATACGTGTGTATGCAGGTCATCTCTAGTCTGGGCACCAAAGAAAAGGCAAAACGGTCACGTGGTCTACAAGCATAGATCCCGGTAAAATTGAGTGTGGGGCATGGAGTTGTATATCCAACTGCTGACCTGGAGAGTGCTGCATCTTCTTTCCCAAAATGCATTTGCATGCATTCTGGCAATTAAAAGTTGACCTCTGTTTCTTGTTTGTATATTAGTAGTAATAATCAACAATAATAATACTTATTATTATAAAATATTTTTCATATTTAAGTTGTTCTGCAAATATTAACTATTTATAGTGACAGTAATAAAGAGCAAATAACATTTAGTGAATTGACTGAAAATATTGCTTAGTGTAACAACATAGCCAAAATGCAGTGTTTTATTTTCTACTGGTTCTGTTATGCAACAGATCTAGGTCTGATAATGACACAGAGAGGCAAAACAGTCTGACATGAGAACTGCGGAGTTGTAGGTCCCTGGGCCAGTCATGTTTTGATCTTTTCTCACAATATAATGGTTTCTTCCCTTAAAATTAATGCTTATGAAAAACAATCACATGGTGATTACTTTTAATCTATCTTTAAGAAAGAAAAAAAAAAAACCCAAACACATTATTTCAGACACCATACATTACCAAATGACTAACTACAGGCAAAATGTCAACCATCACAAATCAAAACCATTACAGATCAAAATCTTCTAGATCATGAAGTCGAGGACTATCTCTTTGTGTACGGTTCAAAACAGAGAAAACTGTTGGCTGTTGGTGCCTAACAGATAATAAATATCAGTAGTGCAGTTTAATCAGCATACTTCAGTTCTGACTATTGCTACTTAGGAAAATCATAACTTTGCACCAAAGAAATGATGCAGATACAAAATCAAATTAAAACCAATGGGTGATACACACTCAAAATAAGATTTCTGAAAAAGTTTTAACAACTTTTTTTCCACCATAGTGAACTATCTGACTAAACTGGAAAGGTATAAAGCAAGCTGGTCATTTCATCTGGTGAGGGCTTTTTTCCATTTTTAATTTGCAATTTGAGCCTTTTCATGTTTCTTTGATAAGATTCTTTCTTCACTCATAGGTTTCACCAGCAGCAAGCATTTTCTGTACTTTGATACTTAGTAATGACACTGCTTTGGGGGGAGAACCTTCCTTTAATCTTCTGCCTGTTTCCTGCTCCTCTTTAGGATCTGTGAGTGCACAGAGGCAGAAGCTGAAATTATTCTTCAGCTAAAGAGCGAGCTGAGGGAGAAAGAGCTAAAATTAACGGACATTCGTCTTGAAGCCCTCAGCTCTGCACACCATCTGGATCAGATTCGGGAAGCCATGAACCGCATGCAGGTCAGTGCAGTAGCTTAAGTGATGACAGGGGTGCACACCAAAGGTATGCCTGATGTATTTCCTTTCCCAGTACTTTGTTTCAGGTACGAAAAAAGTGTCAATACAAAGTAAATTGCTAGATTGACAGCACTTCCAAAGGATGGATATGATAAACATTCACCTAATAATAATAATAATAATGATATTCTTAGCCTTTATATTAACAGCTAAAATGTGTTTAAGAGGTATGGAAGGAGACATAATCCCTGCCCAAAGCATGTTTGTTATCTAAACCTTGTGACTGGGGAAAGCAACATGACAATCAGGCAGATCAAGAAGTGATTTCTACAGAGCTTTAAATCCTTGGGCTGTGGCAGGGGCAGGAGTAAATGTGCATGCTCTCTCATCATTTCTGATTCCTAACCCAGTCATGGCTTGCTGAAGCAAAGTATATAAAATTAAACTAAATTATTGTATCCAGCATCACTAAAATTTCACTACATTATTTTGTGACACTGCTCCAAATCCTTCCTGAACACATTTCTCATCAGAAGACTTTTCCTTTCATGAGGCTGAAAGGATACAGAAAGAATGGCGGTGTTCTTCAGTGGAGCACGGAGCTTTATGGGACTCAGCTCTGTTGCCCACATACAAGTGTCTAGTATCATGTTGGGTGCCCAAAAGTATCTACAACATCCACACAGGATGACATAGGCCCTTCAGTAGATCTGGGCCCTTCTGGAATGACAGGTGAGATACCTAGGACATCCCTGAAGGCGCTATAAACCTGTATTTGGGAAACAGAATCAAGGCCATGGGGTGGGGATTCAGGTTGAGACTAGGACAGCTACATTTAGATGTCTAGGTATGAGCTAGGTGATAAACTCCTGTTGTAGTCAATTCAGTTTTAGTCCTGCAGTAGTGGGGCCTAGAAAGCTATCCTAAAATCATCCTAAGATAGGTATAGAGGGTGAAATTGAGTTGTTTGAGCATAGGCACCTATTACCGTTTGAACCAGCCTCAGGTATTTGCATCTGCACGGGACTTGTAGGTTTAGCATTCTACCCATGGAAGACCATGTTTACAATGGCACTGGAAACCCACATTTACACAGCTGAATCCAGCCCCAGTAGCTTGTCAGCGGAATTGCTCTGTGCTGGGTGCTTAGGTCAGGTGCACCTGTAGGCACTTTTGTATAGATATCCACAGCGGCTGATTTCATAACTACCAGATTTGGTGTGCTTGCTGTCTTTTCTAGACCTCTTTGTTTATACCATACCTACAGCACTCTCAGCCACACCTTTAAACATCTATGGTACCCACCATCCTCCCAGGTGTTCACACCACTAGATGCCAACATTGCTATGGGATATTTGGCTGAACTACAATTAGGGGGAAGAATAATCAAGAACTGGTCTGTAAATATGGGTTTCAATTGTCCAGACATAAATAAAGCATTTGATCTGGAGCCACTAAAAAGTTTTTAGGAACTGTAAGGGATAGAATACAGTTAATTGCAATGGTGGAGAACAGGACATGAAGGCTTATAGGCCGATTATGGTCTTAAACTGGGATATGAGTGCCTAAACCAGGTGAACTCCCCAGGGAGAGGAGTCAGCTGTAGTCACAGGCCTTCAAATTTTGACTTTCACCAAAGCTGGGCAACTAGTTCAGATGCTGTCGCTGGTAATCACCACTTCTTCTGAAGTTTTCCCAAAAGGACAGGCAGCCACCTTGGAGTTGCCAAACTTTGTGATGTTTTGGAGAATTGATGAGGATTGGTAAGGGAGAAAAGTAGGATTGGTGGGAATGATATATGAATACTGTGTGTATTCAAAGCACCTTAAAACTCTAAAGCTCAGCTGAGTGGAAGACTGCTAAGAGTCATGTAATTAACCAGCATAAATTGCAGAGTAGATGAGAATTGCGTGACTCATTTCACCATGGTTCCTGATTTGAACCCCAGGCTAAACTGGTGCATTCATCTATTACCTTCTGTCACTGTTTTGCTGGTTTGTCCCTTCCGTTTCACTATCTCCTTACCTTTGCCTATATGATCTAATCTTTTTGTAGCTGTTGCAGGGAGTTTTTGTGATGCTATCCCTTATGTTTTTACTTGTATAATGTAGCTCAACAGCCTTCATAAAAGAATAGGACTTTTAGCAGAGTGTTAGTGAATGTGGAATTAAATTTGATGTGCAAAACCGTCTGCAAGAATAAGCAGTTGCTTTGTACTGTGCTTCGTGAAGCGACTGAAAGCTAGATTTAGCTGGTACCAGGCTGTTCTCAGGCTAAGTTTTCATTTCATTATTGTACATTCAATAATCACTTGGAACCACAGAGGATTTAGCTAAAAAAAATTCCTAGTTGTTCTGATTCATCTGTCACTGTATGTTTTCATCAAAGAGGGTTTGCTGGCCATTATGTGAACAAACCCATGTTTGAATGATCAAAAGTCTTATCTGATAGCAAGAAGGGTTATGAAACTGTTAAACTATCAATATCTAATTGTCCATTTTTAATTTCATTTCTCCTCTGTGAAGTTACTGCTTAAATTTTACACTCAATGGCAGTAATAATTTTCTGTGACTTTAGAAACATTGACACGTCTAAGATATTAACAATAACTTTCTTAACTGACCTAAAATATTTGACAATAAAAAGTAGCTTATAAAACTGGAGATAGCTGGGAAAATTCTCACCATACTTGTATTATGGTCAACTGTACAATAAACACAGAAGCTTGAAGCTTATGTTGTTTAGGAACTGTCTTGAGGCAAAAGCTAAAACAAGGTTATAGGAGTTTCTCCCCTTCATTTCAGAAGTGAAGGCAATCCAGTTTTCACTGACTGGGTTATACTTCTGATATATAGTGCTACATACTGCTGTGAAAGTGGTAAACCAGTTAGCTCCTGCAGGCAAACAGCAAGCACCAGAATAGCCAACCCCAATGGTTTTCTGAAAGAATAACCTCCTGTACTTTTATGTTGATTTTTTTTTAATACAGAATGAAATTGAGATATTGAAAGCTGAAAATGATCGTTTAAAGGCAGAGACTGGAAATACTGGAAAGCCTGCCCGGCCGTCATCAGAGTCTTCAAGCAGCACATCATCTTCTTCGTCACGGCAGTCACTAGGACTTTCTCTGAACAATTTAAACATCACAGAATCTGTTACATCAGGTAGACATCTTTTGGGCACATGCATGCCTCAGCAATTAGTAAGAATTTGTTATTTTCACCCTCTTAATGGGCCATATATGAGGCATGCCTGAAAATTAAAATGCCTCATATCACTCAGGTAAACATCAGATATACATTCACTAATGGAGATCAGGAAGAATGCTGGCAGTCATTTCTGAAAATGTAGCTTTTAGAAGTTTCTGAATAATAGTAACAGATTGTTCATTATGTTTACCTAGTTCCTAGCTATGATGCTACCTACCTAGTTGGTCATCTAACTACTCTTTGGTCATCTAGTTTACAATTTATTTGAAAAGAACAATATCTGTTGTAGTATACATGGCAACTGTATAGATACATTCTCTTGTCCCTATGGGACAAATATGAGTATAGTACATGAAACTTTATTTTTTGATTACAGACCTTTTATCGTTCAGTTAGCTGCCTTAACTTCATTTCGTATTTGCAGCTGGGGCAGAAGGTGGTCTCAGTTAGCTTTATCCCTTACATTTTTTTTAATGTGGTATTGTTGGACCAAATCACAATTTATCACAGGAGCCAAACCCCGCCTGGCTTATTAAGCACTCTCATTGTCTTCTGTGAATGAGAGAAAGCAAGCAGAACTTTGGTCCACATCCTGAACATTAACATTTGATTATTTTCCATGCCATAGAGTTTATGATAATAAACCTTCTACACTTGTTTTGATAATGTCGCCAAGAAACAGAAGTGCTGTCTCTATCATTACAACCAAGAGCAGAGCAGAAGCAAAGCAGCACTCATTAGCGTAGACTCCACAGAAAGTATAATGCAGTCTCTGGAAGCAATAAAAATGTGGCTAATAATTGTAGAAAGAGTCTAGGCAAGAGTACAGCTGGGAACGTGCCAAACTGCCTGACTATAATTTGGATTGGCAGTTAGTCGTATTATCTTGCCAGTCATTGATTACATGGATATTTGAATATTTCTTTTGGTTAATATCAGATTTTATATGAAAATTGGTATATTTTTTATTTACATTCCAGCCTACATTTTTTGCCAGGTTTAACTTTTGGAATGGATGAGCCTGAGTTGGGCCTCAGTATACAATGAAGTGTTGCAAAAACAGGGAGAAAAAGTTTAACTATGGTTCTTGCTCACACATCTACACACATATAAAAAAAAAAAATTCAGAACAGAATTTTTTTCAAAATGGTAATTGTAGAATCTCTTTCATGAGCAGCAGCCATTAGCACTTTGTCGCTTGGCACGAACTCTTGTCTAGATAAAGGAATAAACATAATATAAGCTTTATATAATTTTCTGTGTTATTGGTTCTAAATGTTTTTCTAGCATGCAAAGTAATTACTTCTGGTTATAAGAAATTAAAGAAATAAGGGTGCCTAATGAGGAGTGGAGGATTTCATTTGATTATGGATCCAGCCTTTTTGATCATTCTGAGTATCATTTTGTGGCCATGCCAGAGAACTTGGAAGGGTGACAGCTTCCTACCAAGTCTTGTGGGATTTCTGCAGTAGCTGGAGTACTGTTGAACAAAAGTCCCTGAGATATGGAGAGGTTAATCATGCTGGGGACTAAGCTGAAAGAGATAATGAGGGCTTTGGCTCATCATATTAAAAAATGCCATGGCACTTTCTGGGAGACCAGTGTCTCTAAATGACTGTGGTCATCTGGAAATGACGAAAGCTTTCCATTGCCGCTTCCTAAGGGTATGACCATCTCCTCCAGATAGGTGTGAGTGGCAAGCTGGGAAGGGGCTTGGTGGTCACAGACACCCATATTTCAGTCAGTCATTACAGTAAAGAGCAGCAAACAAGGACCAGTACAAGACTCTGTCTGGACTGTCCAATGAAGAGGGTGCCAGACCTCAGACACCATAGTGCACCTAAGGAGGAGGCCTGGCAGGAGCTAATTAAAGGAATTAGTACCACCATGAAATTAGACCCTCCTGGGCCTAATTAGACTCTCCCTCAGCCCATTGTGTCAGTAAGAGGGAGAGCTCTTAGTAGAAAGTGGAATTTTTTTCTAGCCACAGAGAGATGCCTCATTCCTAAAGACTTACAGAAAAATGTATTTAAAAGGCTACATGAGGGTCATTTAGAGATTGAAAAATTTCACCGGGGGATCAGATATATTGTAAATTGCCCTCAGATAAACTATGACATTATGGAAACTCTTAAGGTTTGTCAACTATGCTGAAACACAAGTGAAGTGAAACATTCAGTGTTGGTGGCACAGAAAAACTGGCTGCCTGGAACAAAACAAGCATGGATTTGTTTAAGCTCACAACAAAAATGCTTCTTTATTCAATCAATTAAAAAAAAAAAAAAAACAACCACAACAGCAGAATCTGCTTTCTAGATCTGGGTGTAAGCTGTCCAACATTTTACATGAGGACTTATTTTTTAATAGATTCATTGAAGTCATATACATAAGTCTTTTTTGGTTTTGCTGTAAGTGAGTAACTGAATCTTACTGGCACCTCATTTAATTTGGGTGAAATCCGACCTTGTGCAATTATGACATGAAATCAATGCTTTTCTTCAATCACCACAGTAAGAACAAGCAGGACTTAGGGTAGTGGATTACTGTGCTGGCCTTTGAAGAAAATGCAAATCCATAATTTCTCCTAATTTTCTTTTTTGGTTTTGCTGTAAGTGAGTAACTGAATCTTACTGGCACCTCATTTAATTTGGGTGAAATCCGACCTTGTGCAATTATGACATGAAATCAATGCTTTTCTTCAATCACCACAGTAAGAACAAGCAGGACTTAGGGTAGTGGATTACTGTGCTGGCCTTTGAAGAAAATGCAAATCCATAATTTCTCCTAATTTGATAGTTAGTTTAAATGTCTAACAGTAAAATCTCTGAGAGAACTTCTAGAGGAAGACAGCAGTTTTATCCCTTGCAATAAAGCTGCAGGCTCAGCCTTCAATGAGAAATACATCCTTCTGCTGTCTCATTTTAGGAGTTAGTGAGGAGGTAGAAACAGAGGCACAGAGCAGATCAGAAACACACTTTACCTCCAAGAAAAATGAAACCTTTTCTTAGAGGAATGGATGAATACAGAGTCCCGTATTCTGGAGGAATGCAAAGTGGTTTTCTCAATGGATACTGTTTGTAAGCTTGTATTGTGGGGGTAAAAAAGACTCTATCCATGCCATTTGTACAGAAGGGAAAGAAATCAGCTGGAAAGAGAAATTAAAATGCTATTTTACTTAGCAGCAAACATATCAGTGCAAGGATTTGTTGTTTTTCCCCTGACGGCATTCTAAAGGGCACAATGTGTGCCCAAAGATATAAACTTAATTTAGGTTTTAAACACATTACTTTGTGGATGTATGGTAGTTTTGAACAAGCTCTAAGAAGGAAAGCAAAGGCAAGATTATAATGCAAGAATTTATCTATTTATGGAGTCCCCATTTGTTTCTACGTTATTAAAGTTCCTAATATTGCTTCAAAAATTGACAATTGGTAACTTTTTTTCATCTCCAACAGAAAAGGCAAAGTAGGAAAAAGTACAGATTAAAATGATTACAAGTTCTTGTGTTGGCAGCCTTTTGTTTTAAACGAAAAACCCTTTGAACAAACATTGAACTGATGATGCGAACATAACTGATGTGATTTGTCAGGTTGATCACTTTCCTTCCCTTCTTTTACTGCAGATATTTTGTTGGATGATGTCACTGATGGAGCACTCCACAAAGAAGGTCATAGCGTGAAAATTTTAGTCACCATAAACAAGGGCTATAGTCGAGCCAAGGTAAGTTCATTACCCAAAGGTCTAGACGCAGAATTATAGCTCTGACAAATCTTGCAGTGTAGTAGCTCAACTTGTTTCTGTATTTTCAGTCAGGAACTGGAGGAAAATATCCTAAAGATAGCAGCTCTCTTCTCTGTCATCCATGCTTAATACAGTTAGGCGCTCTCCATAGACTAACGTCATATGGCCTCCTTCTGCCTTTGTGGTGGCTCAGACACTACCAATTCTCAGTTTAATTAGTAGTAAGATGTTCTGGGACTTGCTGTCTCCATTTTAAAAGTTGTTATAAATTAGATCTATGCCTCAGACCCCTTAGGCTGCAACTATGAATATGCTGCTGAGGTAATAAATTTGGAATTGCATGGTTGTGTTTTCGTCCTCTGTACTACAAAAAAATTATAAACACAATGCAACTTTTATTTATATTCAACTCTTTATAAATACAGATGCAATCTAAGAGCAGAATAAGATACTGTATTTCCTTCCTTATAAAAATGTACCAAAGTAATATCTTCTATACCTATTTCTGGCACAGAGATTATTAACAAAGTTGTAACATTTTATATTATTTTTCTTCATTGGGAAATTTATGAATCTTCATAGAAAACTAATTACCACCATTTTTAGTCCAGTTTCCAAAAATATTTCTTTGCAGGATCAAAAATCACATGCATATCTGATAGGATCAATTGGAGTCAGCGGAAAAACAAAATGGGATGTTTTAGATGGTGTAATCAGACGTCTCTTTAAGGTAAGACAGTGAAAAATTAGCTCAAGTATTAATTCAGTTTTCTTTTTCACTTAAGAAAAATTCTGTATTCTTTGGGTTGTCTTGCCAAGTTTTTGCTTTGTTTTGTTTTTTGACATATAGCTAACAACAATATTAAACTTTATTCTTAATGTTGCTGTTCTTTTTTCATGATTGTTGCCAGTTCTCTCTTGAATGTGACTGCAAGAATCTCCTTGTCAAATGATTTGTCCTGTACCAAAATATTTTCCAAACTGCTTTCATTCAATAACCATTTTTATTTTTATGTCTTATGTTTTCATATAATTTCAGGAATATATTTTCCGAGTGGATCCGACTACTAGCCTGGGTTTAAGCTCTGACTGCATTGCTAGCTATTGTATAGGGGATGTAATTAGAGCCCATAGCCTAGAAGTGCCTGAACTGCTGCCTTGTGGATATCTGGTTGGAGATAATAACGTCATCACTGTGAATCTGAAAGGTAAAACCCCAAGAATATTTTTGCAGATACTGTAGAGTTCTTCACTCTATTCCCCCATTCCTCCTTTTTTTTTTTTTCTTACACCTGACCTTTCTGTATTTTGTCTCCAGTTCAAGGACTCATTTGTCACATAAACTCTCTGCATGACATCATACAATACCTAATGCAGTGGGGCATTTTGAGACAAATCTAAGAATATCTCTGTCCTTCTCTGCCTGACTGCCAAATCACAGCAAAATAAAAATTTCTGAATAGTGGCAAAAAAAACCAACCCCAAAACAGAGATTATTATGAGAAATATTTATGCCTTACCCAGTTCCGCAGGAAAAATTCAATACATTTCAAAAGCTGTAGGGATTTGCTTTTGGAGGGGAGGGGGGGACCTTCAGAAGAGCTATGCATACGTTGATGTGACAACCGGTAACCCTTGTGACTGTCACTTTGACCTTTTTTTTGTCACGGTTGCCTGTAGTGTCTGAAATATACATCTTTGCCTCACTGAGCCTTCTCTTCACATTTACTTCGACTTGATCTCTCCCACCCATCTTGTCCTACTACCACTGTTTAATTTTTTGGCCCTGTGGAAGGATATAAGCATTTTCACAGTAATGAAGTCCTTGATAGGAATTTGATTTAGGCAGAAGTATCTTACCTTGCTTTGAGCATAGCACTGATGCCATCAGATGCTGGGCCAAACCTATATCTACCTTAGCAAGGACAAAGACAGGCCATTTTTCTTTTCTTTTGTTCCCAGGAGTGGAAGAAAACAGTTTGGACAGTTTTGTGTTTGACACATTAATTCCTAAGCCAATTACCCAGCGGTACTTTAATTTGCTGATGGAGCATCGCAGAATTATTCTGTCGGGACCCAGTGGCACAGGAAAGACCTATTTAGCTAACAGGCTGGCTGAATATATTATAACTAAATCTGGCAGAAAAAAACCTGAGGATGCCATTGCAACTTTTAACGTAGATCACAAGTCAAGCAAGGTAAGTTACAGCTGAAAAGGTAACCTATTGCCCAATTTGTAGTGATGATGCAGAGCAGATCCTATTAATTGGCATACTGTTTTCTTGCTCAGTTAGCGTTTTTTCCTACAAGAATTCAGTCTCCGATCCCAGTGAGGAACAGAGACCAGATCTTTCTGCTCTAAACAAACCATTGAAGCACTGTGAAGGAAGTCTGAATTTTCCCTCCACTTGAGGAAACCCACCTTAAGGATAGATGCAGAGTCAAATTCCTGTGTAAATTCAATTCTTAGAATGTCTGTAATTCCTTCGTCAGAAAGGTTGGATATATAGTAATACTAGTCTGACTTGCTTTTTTATAGTGATAATAGCAGCCTATTGTTAGCAAAGATTTCAGAACGGGGATTTTGAATTACTGTCTTGGGTTCAGCTTATTAATCTGCACTGGATAAATACAACTGCTGCCACGGTTTCTGGCGTGCATCGGTCAGGAAGCTGACCATACTAAAATTACCTCATGCATCATGTCACATTCACAGTAATTTATATAGCTCAGATTATCAAGCTTCTAGCATGACTACTGTGCTAGCCACAGATAATACTATTCACTTGCTGTTCTAAATTGGGTATACTCCTAACTTGGTACCCAGGGAAAAGAAAATGAAAGGTTTTGCCCACAGCTTTCTGATTTGTACAGAACATAATGAATGTTAACATAATAGAAGAAGGAAGAACATACAGATCCCAAAGGGGTGAGGGGACCATTCCAGTAAAAACACCGCTTTTCACTGTCTTTATACAGAGGATTTGTGATGCCATTTACTTTGGCAGGGGATGTGTTTACGTTTTATTTTTATACCATATGCATTTATAATTAAAATTGTCCCACAAAAGAGCAAGCATTTGGATTTCTGGTAAATTGCTTGTTGTATGTGGTTTTGTTTGGGGGGGGTGGTTTTTTTCTTTTTCCTTTGTTTCTATTAAGATTTATATAGATCTTTTGAATTTGTAGTAAAAAAGAAAAAACAACATTGTCAAATACCAAGTGTGTTTGAATAATACAGATGGTGCTATTCCATGGAAGAAACCCATGATGTTCCCCTAGAGACACCTGCTCATAAAAGGCCAAACAAAAGTCTTTCTTGAAATAAAAAAAGATTGCATGTTCCCATTAAAGAAAAAAAGATTCTGCTATCCCTGATCCAGGAAGTAAAACAGCAATAGGAACTTTGCCCATAATACTGAGCATTCCCAACACTGACAAAATTAGATACCTCTAGGGATACAGCTGTAAAACTTGAGTAGCCCAGACCCTCAAGGGCAACAAAGTGTTGAGGAAAATATGAAATGTTTTGATTATAGAAAGCTTTCTTTTACTCCAGCACTAAATGGCAGCCAGACAGACAGCTGACAGAAAAAAAAGGATTTACACAACAAACTTTATTATGAGCCGTGATATAGTATCCCCAAAAGGTCAAACAGATTTTCAGTGAGACTGGTAAAAGGAGATATCTGAGGGAGAAGTTCAGTATGCCTAAACTGTGTGATAATTTGGTGGGGGGTTTTTGGTATATAAATGTGGCATTCATAAAAATGGAGGTCCAACAATTAATGTGAATATTTCAGCCCATTGGAAAAGGCATATTTTATTGCAGCTTATTTTCCACTGGAGATAAGATATTTTATCAGCAGGTTTCTAAGGAATGTGTCCACCAAATAGGAATGTGTATGCTTCAGTCACTTGCCTTATGTTTAGTGCCTTTGTTTTTCCTAGCATGTGGCTTCAGTGTTGCTCTATCTAAGAAGCAGGTCTTCCTGCATGTGCCGATCCAGCTGAATGACCCACAGTGGGGAAACTCTGTAGCAGCCTCTTTATCTTTCTGAAAATCTTTTCCACTGAAATTACATCTATGGTCTAATTGGGTTAATCTTCTCTGGTTTTTCTTGTTAATTCTGCTGAAGGATCTGCGACAATACCTAGCAAACCTAGCTGAGCAATGCAGTGCTGACAACAATGGTGCTGACCTCCCTGTGGTCATAATTCTTGATAACCTCCACCACATCAGTTCACTAAGTGACATCTTCAATGGTTTCCTCAACTGTAAATATAACAAATGGTAGGTAGCAGCTCTTCTCTCCCTTTTCACACACCTTTTGCAATTAAAACAGTAAAAGCTGTTTGTCATTTTACAAAATAAAATGTCCCAGTGGAAACTTAGACTCCGATAGGCTGTCAGCAAAGCCCTTATGTGCTTGAATAATTTTAACCCTCGTCAGCCAAGTACTTAAGTGTCTGCTTCACTTTACTTAGATGACTCCCATGCATCTCAGTGAGATGTAAATGTACCATGGAATTTAAGAATGTACTTAAACGCTTGACTGAATTAGGGTCTTATCCTTTTCACCCTGTCAGATCACACAAGCTCATTAGTCCTATGAGGACAGCTTATGGGAGAGTAAGAAGAAATGCACTTTCTAATAGTGGAATTTGGGATATGTGTGAACCCGTGAACCACGCCATGCAGAAGCAGCTGTGTGTCTGGCAGACTTGCACTTCCTACAGTTTTCCTGTAGCAGTGTGGAAGTATGAAGTTTGCCGACTGTCCTTTATTGCCAAGCAAGAATAAAAATAATGTTTTCTGGAACTTTTACTGGCCTATAACATTGGCTATTTCTGCTGTAAAAGTGCCATCATAGGGACTTCCCTTCATAAAATCACTGCATGCTGTGTCTTACTCATGAGATTCACTGGCTTCTGAAATTCAAACTCTAAGCCTACTGCAAAATTATAAGGTACACGAGGACAGAGTTGCCTCATTTATTTCTTTATTACAGATGAGTACTAGTAAACTACAAATGTGCAGAGAGGGAAATCATACAAGAATAAACATTAAAAAAAGGGCGCCTCAGAAATATTTTAAATCTAAGACTACAATACATCCAGAGACTCTTTTAAAATTGGCCTAGTGCAGATAAGAAGAAAGAATATTCTCTGAATATCTGAGTGGATTCTCCCTCAAAAAAAAACCCTACTACTTTTCTCTTTTCAGTCCCTATATTATTGGAACCATGAACCAGGGAGTTTCTTCTTCACCAAATCTGGAGCTGCATCACAATTTCAGGTACATTCACTCTGTATTTACTGTGGCTGTGTTTGCACAGCTCGCTGCTTCTCAGCCCAGTTCTTCGACAAACATTGATCTTGTGTCTCGTCACAGCTTTTTAAGTGTTTTAGCTTCTGCATCTCTCCTGTATTGATGGGTCTCGGAATGGTGTTGGGGAATGGTGAAAGAAATAAGATATTTTCTGGCACCTCTTGCAAGATGCTGAAGATGATTGCATTCTTGCATTCCATTTGTCTTCAGCATTGTCTTGAATTCCGGCTGAAACCTGTAATGATTGTGTTGTAGCAGCGGGCAATAGTGTGGTTTATTGGAGCAGTTTTATACTTGCTGACTAATGAGACTCAGAAGCTTATGACATTACCTTCATCTATATGTTTAAGAGGAAATGATGTATTTGCTATTCCTTGCTGCTTGACATTTATCCTTTCTGTGCAGGTGGGTGCTGTGTGCTAATCACACAGAGCCTGTTAAAGGTTTCTTGGGCAGATATCTGAGAAGGAAACTGATTGAGACTGAAATAGAAAGGAACATACGCAATAATGAGCTCATCAAAATCATTGACTGGATCCCCAAAACATGGCATCATCTCAACAGCTTCCTAGAAACGCACAGCTCTTCAGATGTAACCATTGGTGAGTCCATTGGTGGGGTGGTTTGAAATAAGGATGCAGGCTGAGCATTTTAGAGATTTGTGAAGGATATAATATCTTTCCAAAAATTGTCATCTCTCAATGGGAAGTACAACATCAGTGTGGGGAATTTGTCTAGTTGCCAGCAAGATTGACATGAAAATGGGAAGTTTAATGAGAGAGTATGTATTTCCTGGTACTTCTGCCTTGGTTGCTGAAGACTTTCAAGTAAATGTTCATAATTTTAAAAAGTTAAATTTACAAAAAATTACCTCAATAGCTACTTTCCTAAGCTTAATTTTTTTCCCTGCTTTCACACTGAAGTATAATTACAGCAATAAACACACTTGGACAGTCAGTTCAGCAAACTAGCAGGTGGGAGATATACATGTATCTGAGGTCTTTTAATGGAATAGTTACGTTAGCAAAGAAGTCATCCTTTTGCATAGCTTTGCCTGTAAAACTTGTAAGTGTTCATCAGGCCCTAGAATTGGATAAAGTGACACTAGTTCATTTTTAATAACAGGAGACTGATAGCTCCCTTATTGTAGTCCTGTATTAACATTCTCTTCACTTGAGTTTGCTGCAATACTACTTTTTTAATTCTGTGAAGATTATTTTTAGTGTGTTCGCTAGTTCCACTTTTTTTAACACACAACTTGACTTCTCAGGTCCCCGCCTCTTCCTCCCTTGCCCTATGGATGTTGACGGCTCCAGAGTGTGGTTCACAGACCTCTGGAACTATTCCCTGGTGCCGTATCTTCTGGAAGCTGTGAGAGAAGGACTTCAGGTATGTCATTTGTTTCCCAGCAATTTTTTTTTAATTAGTTCCATAGGCTTTCTCCAAGCTACTTTTAACCAAGGCATCCAAGTATGAATGCTGTTGCGTTTGCAAGAAGAAAATCTGTGGAGGGATTATAGAAATCAGCCTTGAACTCCTTTTGACCTGCTCTTACACTGATGTATAATTTGGCTTTGTCCGCTCCAGCACTAGCATATCTTGTATTTTATGAAGAGGGTTCCTCCTCTGTGACTGGAGGAAGGTTCTTCTTTTTCCACTGTTTAAAGAGTCCACAGCAATGCTAAATACAGCTCAGATTGCCTCCCTGAGTCAAGGCAGTCTTAGCCTACCCCTGCATGGAAGTTAATAGCCCTTACACTGGTGCAAGAAAATAGCTGTGGTTTGTGTAATCCTCTCCCACCTACATACACATGTAGGCACACAGGCTTGCGGAGGAAAGCTTGTGAACAAGGATATTTTCACCATTCAGGAAAAAAAAAATGTTTACTGGCCTTATCTAACCAGATTGAGATAATTTACTCTTTCGCCCTGCTGAACATGAAGGTCTGTCCCTTTTTGCCCTTATATCTTGCAACCCTGCTTGTATTCCCCATAGTTTTGTTTCTCCTTTTTTCTTTCTGTATATGGGCTAAGGTTTCCTCCTGACTGTAATTCTTATTTTGGGTAACAGTGCCATCAGATCAGAGTGCTTCACGGTTCTGATTCTATCCTGTCCTCTCCAGAGCTAGGCATTAGCAGCAGTTCCATTGATAGTTAATGAACTATTAAAATTTCTTCTACTTTAATAGAAAGAGGGCTACAAATAGATTTGCTATAGATAGCACTGTAAGCTGTCCCATATAGGTTAAGACTTCAGACCATTCCACACCTTTGGAGCAAACCTAAATCTTGAAATGAATCCTTTCTTCTTTTTTTTTTTTTCAATTTTTATTTGGCTTTCTCGCTTTTCCTTTTTCTTTTATGCACTGCGATTCTATGTCCTCTGAAAAGATGCTTTGTGGAAAGGCAGTTTTTTGCCACACGTGGCACTGTAAAAAATTACTGCACAGTGCAGAGGGGATTGTTATGGACTAGTCGAAGAACTGTGTAAGCAGCTGCGGTTTCTTTATCACCTTGTATTGACATAGTGACATACTGATGCGATAGAGGTTTAGAATCTTGCCTGTTGAATATCTCACGCTTTCCTAAAACTGCTTATCTCTCTGGGAATTACAGAGTGTTTATGCCTTGTGCAAAAAAATGCCAAACATCTGATAGAACAGCCACAGTGAGATTAACAGCGCTTGTTCAGACCAGCTGTAAAAATGCAGTGATATTCTTCATGCTCGTATTTTCCCAAGTATACAGGGTACCTACTTAAATGAAAACTTCAATTCTGGAGCAGAAGATGGCAGGATACAGAAGAAAATATGTTGTTTCATGAGCCGTTCCAATTTTTAGCTGCTTTGAATGGCTTCCATAGAATAACATTATTAATAATAAACAGAAATCTTTTATATGATATAATTAGATGTTCCTGAAACCAGGGATGGGTAGAAAATGCCTTTCTAGCCTGGTACTTTGCAAACTCACTTGTCAGACACAGAATTTACAAGCCTTGCTCCAGATTCCGGAAAAGATTTAATCGCTGTTAGTCTCAGATGAGGGGAAGTGCTGCCTACAGCCTGGAGTTAGCCTGCTACCTCCCTGAGAAACATTTCCTCTTGGCTTATTTAGGCTTATTTTAGCAGCCTAGCCTCTGCATAGGGCAGAAGGAGTCTGAGTATCTCTGTGCAACATATAGGGAACTTGGCTGCCTAACCTGGGGCTCTGGATTCAGCAAGTGCCTGGGAGCAGGTGTTGCAGTGATAAGCACAACTCATCTCTCTGGCTTTAGCACTAAAATCCTTCACTGTTTAACTCCCTTTAGGAGTGCAGCCCATCTAAATGCTCCATGAGTGTATGCCCTGCCAATATTATGCTGTTCCTTGGATTGCGTGAGGCTGTTTGAGCTAGGAAAAATCACAGACAGTCCTGGTGACTGGCTCCCCATCCCAATGTGTCATTGTCACAGCTAAAGGAAATCTGTAAAGCAGCAACCAAGGGGCTCTCAGTTAACACGTTGCTTGTGAACAACAATGTAGGGAAGGGTGCATTTTAGTAAGGAAGCTCCCAGACCTCCTAAACTTAAAATATTCTCATTCTGCCTTCCTCTGTCCTCCTCCCAGATTCGTAAGCATATTTGTGCTTCATAGTAGGGAAAACCTATCCTTTGTGAATTTCTTCTCTTAACCTTGTGAAAGACCTCAAACTTAAGGTGTGGACAGATGTCTGCTTCTGCATCCCGCTTTGCTAGGAGAAGAGAAAAATCTGTACTGGCACTTCCTAATTCACTTCAAACAAAATCCAATTAACTTGAATGTTTTAGATAGGTCTGAGTTAATTTCACTCATACGCCTTAAGCAAATTACCTAAAGGTCTCATTTCACATTGTATCAAAAACTTGTGGCTCCCACTGTTGCCTGCAAGTATCACTAGTTTTGGAGTGCTTTTCAACTTGCAGCCGCTCTGCGTATTGAAGGAGAATTAATGGAGATGAGGTCTTTTGAATGTCTTCTCATATCCGAGTGCTGAGCACATTTGAAAGCAAACCATTTACTACAATGATTTAGATGTTTTTGATGACTTTTGTCTGCTGTTACAACTGGTACTGAAAACTCTGTAGGATACTTACCTGTGTTATATCCATAATACAGATGTACGGTAAGAGGGCACCCTGGGAGGATCCCTCCAAGTGGGTAGCTGATACCTATCCATGGAGCTCTGCATCTCTACAGCATGAGTGGCCATCATTACTTCAGTTAAGACCAGAAGATGTTGGTTATGAAGGTTATGCATCAGCAAAAGAAGGAACAACTTCAAAGCACGTTCCACAGACTGATACAGAGGGGGATCCCTTGGTAAGATTTAAACTTTGGGGAAAAAACTTTTCAGTATGTACTTTGCTGTCACATGTTAAATTGTACACTGTACAGTAAAAAACTACTGTGTACCTGTTCCAAAATAGGCTTTTAAAATGAATTCTACTATAATTTATTAAAAAGGTTGAAAATAAAAGGAAAATCTAGCAGGAGGGCAGGTATCACCATCATGTTAATATGTCCCTAAATTGTTTGCATTTTCCATCTGCCCAGAAATGTATCTGGTCTTCATCATTATAATGTTTGGGTACCACTCTTCAGCAACTTATTAATCAGTTTATTCTAAAAACACCTTTCTAGGTTGGGCAGTCCTTCATCTACATTCTACAAATGAAGGACTGAGAAATTCGCATTAACTAACTTGTCTATCACAGAGGATTTAGTGGAAATGCAAATTAGACAGCCATCCTCTCATTCCTCAGAACATTTCAAGATAACTGATGACTGTATAACAATCTTAATGTAAAAGGAATGCAAGTGTGGTGGCATTAAAAGATAAGAGGTTGATTTCCCTCAATGCCATGTATTGTTTTATTTAAATATGATCCCAGACGTTTGGGTTTACCAGTGCTTCCTCTGATAACGGACTATTAAATTGCATGTATTGAACTGCTATTCTTGTATAGTGCTTTCTCTATGGACTGCCTTTATCACAATTCAAAATACCATTTTAGAGAACTGTACTTCTGGAATACAGGCAGCCCTTGGAAAAGGGAATTTCTCAGAGGAAAATGAATTTTACTCTTATCAGTGCTAAGAAAATGACTCCTCAGCCTCACTGAAGTGTTTGGTATCCAAAACCAGACCTTGCATCCTGAAGAAGTGTAGAAAATCACCTCACTTGATCCCCTGTCTCCCAGTCCATAAGCTTTGGGGTGATTGTTTGACCCTGTGATTTGGGCTGCCAGTGGGTGTATTGGCCAGGCTTCCAGCACGTATGCATCATCTCCACTAAGGTGAAAACACTTGGGCAGCTTGAGTTCAGTCTCCTGTCACCCTTGCTCCCTGCACACTGTGATCAGTATCTGTATCTGACTAAATATCAGAAGCTTGAAACTTGTGAATGGAGGGCTTGTCCCTGCCTGTGGTGGAGCTCACGGGGAGATAGACACTGCCCTTGTGGAAACAGGACATGTCATGTGCAGGCTGTATTGCACGCCCACCTCATGTATCCTGTATTCTCAAACGTGGATACCTATTAAACCTTCAGCAAAAGCTACCTGTTAGCATTAAAGAGTATTAAATGCTGTTCATTGCCTAGAGAAAACTTTACAAGCTGTGCAGGTTGAAACCATAGAGATGTAAGGATTCCTGAGCAAACTGGAAGAAGGGGCTTAACACAAACACACAAGAATACCTCTTTCTCTTTGGTTTTTCATTGCCTGCTTTTTTGTAATGACAGCGTAATTGTTCCTTGAAAAACTCTAAAGCGATGTCAACATTGCTTGCAGCCCTGAGCATGCTGGCAGAAGTGGATGTTTTATAAATACAATCCTGATCATTACACGGAGTTAGGCATCAAGCATCCAAGTAATTTTCTGGGGCTTAATGCTGCTTTTTGATGATTTTTCAGATGGGTTTCAGGTTCTAATAATCCCCAAATTACGTGGGGACTCTCCTCTCCTGGGTAGGAGGATCTGTTGCTGCTCCCCTGCTGAGGTCAGCCCCTCGACAGCAGATGGGACTCTTTTATGAAGCAGCTGGCCTTGCTCCACCCCTCTCTCTCGCTCCCTCCCTGTCTCTCTCTTGCAGAGGGGGTATGTTAGTGTGATTATGTTTTCAGTTGCTTTTCCAATGTAGTGTGTCTACGCCATCCAAAAATTATCTGGAAGCTTGACTGTCTCCAAATATGGGCCCAGATGTCCAGCTGTGATATGGCTTCCTTCCCCTGCCGGTGTTGCAGCTGCAGCCGGTCTCACCCCTGAATTAAAGAGAGTTATCAGGCAGCTCCATTGTATTCCTTTGGTTCTTTGGACCTTTAAACTTCTATTTAAAGACCAGAAGGCAATGAAAAGGGTGCCAGGAGGAGCCGCTGACACCCTGCCCTTTCTGAAATCCTTTTGTATGGTCCCCTCAGCTAGATACCAGCACACCTCATACAGCAAGGGAGCTTAATTAAATTTTAACACGGTCACTGCAGCATTAAATGAGACGAGAGTATGTAAACATCGCTTTCTTCTTTCAGATGAACATGCTAATGAGGCTTCAAGAGGCAGCCAACTATTCGAGCGCACAAAGCTGTGACAGTGATAGCACCAGCCACCATGACGACATTTTGGATTCATCCCTTGAATCAACCCTCTGAAAGGGACAAACCTTGGTGGAGGATTATGGTAAAATCTGTTTCCACTAGACCACTGCCAGTATTAAAGCAGCAAGCCGAGGTCCCCGAGTGAGAATGGTGTGTTGTAGGTAGGCAGGAGACCTAACTCTGCAAAGTCAGGAAGAAAAATTGAAGTGGAAAGCTTGAATTAGTTTAATTTCAAGGCATTTCAATACCTATGGAGCCAAGTGAGACTCCATTTGTCAACTGGAAAGGGCCCTAGACCGAGGGCATCTAAGCAGATTGCACACGTGTTAGCCAAACTGGAATATTTTTTTTCCTTTTTCCTCTTTCTCTCGCTCTCTGTCTCTCTCTCTCTGTCTCTGTTTCTCTGTACAAGTTTACAGTGCAACTTGTTTTGTTTTTTTCCTTTAGTTTACCCTGAGGCGCTGCATGAACAATGCGGTCTTCTAATTCTCTTCTAACCTCTGTTGTGCCACATGGTGCTGGTCACAGGACTGCAGTGGTGTTTGCGTTGTACGCTACTGCCCATTCCAAAACGAGTCAAAGATGATGATAGTAACTCAGAAAGCACAAACAGTATTGTGTAATCACCAGAAAACATGACTGTGATATGCTGGATAAGTGCCAATTTAATTCTAACTGCCATGGTCACGGTGATGCGTTCCATCAAGTTTTTAGTACACAAGTCACAGATTTTATAAAGTTGTTTTTACCACAAAGGTCTTTTTTAACCACCTGCCCACTCCTTAACAACAGTTTTATACCAATTATTAACCAACACTGATTAAAGGCTTTTTAGGGCTTCATTTGTTTGAGCCTTTTCAGTGAAAGAAGGAACATTTCTTATGGTGCTGTCTCACTGCCTTAAAACAGATTTCTAGAACAGTTTTACAGTTGGTTTAATTCCTAAACCATTGGTAATTTACACTGTTTTTTTCTTCATTTACTAATGAGAGAACGTCAGTTAACACAATAGCCTCATATCTGTATATCATGATTTTTTAAAGAAATGGATAGGAGAAAGAACAGTTGCTATATAATATTTTTATCTTGTGAATAGATTGCTCTGCCTACCCTCAGAAATACACAAGGAACCCAAACCCACTTCCACTGCCACCTAAACGCTGAGAAAATCAGCTCAAATCCATTTGGTCCCATGGAATGGAGTTTTTGGAGGATAGATGTTTTGAATTCTTATCCAGCAGAGCTGGATGCACTTGATGCAGCATGAGCACAAATATATGGGTTTTTTTTCCTTTTTCTAGTTTTAGCATGTTGTTTTGATTGCTATTGTTGTACATGAAGAATTCAGCATAAAAGAACACTGAAGCAGTGATGTCCACTGTGGAAGAGGAAGAGTTTATACTGTAAAAGTGGGTTGGTTTTGCACAGTCTACTGGGTGGGTATTGTAAATATTGAAGAAAAAAAAAAAAAGAAAAAAAAAGCCTTGCACAAATCAAATTGAAAACAAACAAACAAACAAAAAAAATTGTATTTTATTCTGTTGGTGTTAAGAGATGTTTCACTTGCTGAGATTTCCTGTACGTTGCAAACAAATACAGAATGCAAACCTTAAAGCTGTTATTACCTGGTGTGTTTGTCCTGTACTTACAGTTGTTATGACTATGCAGGAACTATCAATGCTACAGTGAGCATGTTTCAATATCTATACAAAGCCAATACATTTTGGGGGGAAAAAATCTGAAAATGTTTTAGGTGCATATGTCACGGCAGGCTACAACCAGATTGCATTCAAACTGCTCAGAATAATCGGAAACGCTCTTTTACCACAAGAGGCGTCCGGTTAAAATAGGTGCATATAAACAAGAAGGTATCTAAGGGCTTTGGCATTGTGTAGACATGTACTGTACACCTCCATGGATGTTACCTTCAGGATGTGTATTTGGTGCTATTAACTCTTTGTGGCCACCCTGTGGTCACTCGCTGTAAAACAAAGATAAATCAATGCAGTTTCCAAATGGCACTGAGCTGCATCGCTGAATCTAGAGGTTCCTACACGGTGCTATCGCCCTAATAAAACTCTAACTGATTTTATGCATGTAGGATTCAGTCAGACCAACATCGTGCCCCCCAAATCTGGATCCATTTCTGTTGCGAAACGTCAGCACGTACACCTTGACTGACTTGAAGAACTAAAGGAAAGCTGCTCTTTCCTGTACCTGTGCTCTGAGCAAACCTGCAAATCTTTTCCTGCCATATTTAACACACAAACACACAATATCACATATACAAAACTTCCTGCAATACATCTCAGTGAGTCCACCTAGTTTACAACTCAGAAATTGTTTGTGAAACATTTGTCTGTACACATTTTATATTTTGTACATTTTTGATGTAACATATCATGTAAATAGACAGAAACAGTGAAATAAATCATCTGAAAAGTTTTGTAGTCTTTGTAAAGCCCTAATAATAAGTATTTGGTGTCATCGGACTTAACTGGATGATGTATTTTCTATTGGTTTATTGTTCCTCTAGCTTGTAAACCAGCTTGCGTATATTTTTTTGCAGGTGTGCGCACTGTATCTGTCTAAATTATTACTTTGCCATTAAAGTGGAATTATTTATTGAAAACACAGTCTGGTGTTTTTGCAGTCAGGACCACTTAATGGTTAGATATTATTTCAAATATAAAAACATATAAACAAAATGACAAACTGAAGGATGTAATTTTCTGTATTCAGCAGAACTAATCTCTGTAGAAGCAAAATTAAGTACTGTTTCTAGTTCTAGTGATTCGGTATGGTTTTTGAATGGCTCTTTCCATGGTGGGAACAGCTTGTGCAGTTCAGAAACAACTTTACAGTCTCCCCGTTCTCAAGATTATCTTCAAATACAAGGATATTGATTTCAGTGGTGGTAAACCCGTACAAAACTGGTACCTTATTTTCAAACTTGAAGGACTTAAGGCTACTTCCTCAGCAGGTATACATCAATACGATTTAATAGAATTCAAAGAAAGAAAGTAGAATTATGTTAGTCAGCTAATCACAAAGTTTGAGGCTGGAAGAGATCATTATGATCCTGCAAGTTGTAGCACCTCAGCTATAAGTCTCAGCACCAGGTCTGTACTTTCTCCTGAAATTGTCATGTCCCTGGAAAGACCTTTAGACATAACAGTACAGAGCAGAAGATCCAGCACCTCATTGTCAATGTGGCTAATTATTCACTGGGTGGGTTTGTTTTTTCAGGGCTTTATTTGCATTTAAATCTTACATATCTCTTTCTTTTCAAGATAAAAATACCCCAAACGGTCTTTTCTTATGCCTTTTCCTCCCATACTAACAAGCCAACCACAATCAAAAACATCTTTTACATTTAAGTAATAGTCTTCCTTGCTTTTCTTTTTGATAAGACAAGCAGCTTGCTCATTCTTAGCTTTTCATGGTAAGGCATGCCTTTCGGACCTCAATGCATTTTTTGCAGGACTTTCTGACTAGTTTTTGATTTGTCCAAGTCCTTTCTGAAGTGTGGGTATGAGAACTGCACACGGTATTCCTGTGATGATTTTACTTTTTCTATAAACAGAACTAATATCACCTTCCAACTCCCACTTCGTATTTTCCCTGCTTAGGCTTCAGGGCTGACATTCACTCTCTAATTGCATCATCCTCCTGCAGGCTCATGTTCAGCTAATTATCTGCCAAGACCCTGACTTCTTTTCATGTTGCATCATTTTGAAATACTTTGTCCAATCCTGTCTGTATAAATGATACTCTTTGTTCCTTAGATGTATGATTGCAAGTTTATCTGTATTAAAACAGGATATTCAAATCAGCCCACCCTACCAAAAGATTCAGATCATTCTCTACAATCGGCATCTGTCTAATTTACCACTCCACCAGCTTCCCTCACTTCCAAAAACTGCTAACCATCATCTTTCTTCATCTTTCAGTTCGTAGGTAAAGGTAGTAAGTAATGTTTTGTCAAGAACAAACCCCTGTTGACTCCTGCTAGGACCCTCCATGATGATTTCTGTTTTACAGCTACATTGTTGGGTCACTTATGTCATGGATATATTCGTATTCCAGTTAATGTGGGTATGAATATCAGAATGTCATACAAAACCATGGGTATATAATATAGGAAATACATGACGAGTTACACGGCTCTTCCATCACTGTAGGTCTCTAAGGGTGGATTAGATTAGTTTCTGTTGAAAGTTACAATGTAGACCTGATCTTATACAGGAAGGGGAATAGACTACATGACTTTAGCGATCTCAGTGTGGCTTTCCTATAATTTAGTGCTGCAAGTCTTTGCACATTATCCAGCTGCCATTACTTAAGGAAAAAGGTATGAAATTTAATTGTCAAACTTGTTCTGTGTTTACTGTCTCAGCACATCTACCTGTTAGCCTTTATCTGGAGACCTGCCTGGTGAATGCCCAGGTTCCCAGGACAGGAACAGGAATGGGAACGGGATAGTGCAGCCTCGGAAAGAAAAGTGTTTTTAGCAAAGTACTTCAGACGTTGCTCTTGCTTACAAGAACTCATTTTTTATGCTATCATTAAATAGCCACTGTGTTTCTCAGCATGCGCTACTTTTTCTTGATAACTGAATAATGTCACACAAATTAAATGCTACCACTAAGTTTGGCAATGCAAGAGCTACAGATGCACTATCATGGGAGAAATGTATTGCCGGGTAATAATACCAGTAGTAGAAAATAGAATCTGTCATGAAAGATAAATTAACTAAGACCCAGGCCATGTGACCTTGCCTTTCTACACTAAATTGCATTTACTGTTCTTTGTTCAGTTGCAACCTTAAACAAACGTTGATGAATAGCAATGAGTGAGCACATTGAATGAAGTAAGCCCTGTTTTTAGTAACAAATTTTATAAATGAAATAATGTTTTGCCTTTGTCAGTGTATTTACTTGTTCTGTAAGCAGTTTTTATTAAATCAGATTACATAATTCAGGAAATTAAAATGCATCTTGACAATTAAATGCCAAAGCTGAAAGAAAAGGCACCTGGCAACTGCTATGTAACAAAATAAAGCATTTACATGGTGACATATAACCAGCACTAATGATTTTATCATGCCATAAATGGATGGCTCTGAAAGAACAAAGAAGCAGACAAAATACGTATTATCTGTATGACCAAACCCCAAGGACTTAGTGAACTAAGTCATTTAAACTAGTGAACTCTATTTTAGCACTGATAATTCAATGCACCTTAAACACGTCCAGCTAATCCCGTGTTCTGCACTCTACAAGTGCAATGAAAAGACATACGCAGACTGAAAAAAGACTCTTCAGTGTGACTGCTAATGCAGTTAAGCTGTTCCACTCATGTAGGCTACATACAATAAAGAGATATGGCTTCTGTACAGCAGTCTCTGAGCTACCAGAAATAATTGGGTGGCAGAATGAATAATTTAGCTCCATCATTACCGCACTCTTCATATAACTATCATGATCTTTAGTGTACCCTGTCCCTGCTTATCCAGGTCAAGCTAATGGCACTGTATTGGACTAGTGGTACTGACTCTTGATTGTGGCAGGGGAAAGTCACATTGGAGGCAAAATCTTACATCTTAACTGAACTAACCTCACGGAGCAAATGTATTTTTCATCTAGAGGAAATAAAAAATATAAAAGCTATGTAAGAAAACTTTATTGTCCTATTAGTAATTGCTGTGATTAATCTCATTATTACTTAATGTCTTTGTATTACTGCTTTTGCAGTGCCAATTTGTCTCAAATACTTTATAAAGTTTTCTTGTAAAAACAAATTATCTTTCCAAGTGTAAAATTATACCGTTTATTTGAGAGCTGGTTAAGACCTTGTTTCAGACTACCAGCCTATTTAACAAACTATATCCACACACAGTAAATTTCATTTCTGTCTTAAGGGTCTCTGATGTTAAAGAACATGTTTAGTCTTACTATGTGTTCCAAGTAAGTAATGTTCTTTAATTTGTCCTGAATATAGTGTTAAGCATGTGAAGTGCTTTCCTAATTTAGACTTAAGTGCCTGCAATTCATTCTTCCATAAACCATTGTCTTTAGAGGATAAGATGGTCAACTAACTGCTGCAAGATTCAGCTGAACATTGTTTGTAGCAACTGTGCAGAATATTACACTCAAGAATTATAATTTAATTGCATGCTTAGACACAGCGTTCAGTAGGATGCCATATTGCCTGTTGTAATGTTCTCCAAAGTTGAATAAAACCTTCAGACTATGTTGCTAATCAGAATGGAGGGAAGCCTCCTCCTTTTCTGGAGTGGAGCAGCTGCTAGCAATAAAACCTGAGTGCCTGTTTGTAGCTGCAGGACAATAGAGAGGTTACTCCACCTAGAGGAATATAGATAAGCTATAGCTTATCCATGTTACAGGGCATGCTGGAAGAAATCTTTCATACTGGAAAAATATCAGTATCATTTAGCTGTTCCCATCCTTGCTGTATATCAGAATCAGTCAGGTAACTCTTAATCATAACATTATCTTACCAGGTGTCAAGATATTTATGGGTTTTCTGAACTATGCAGTAATCAAAACACAAAATATAGGGCTGAAACTCAATATGAACCTTAGAACACATATCCATGCTTTAAAGGCTATGTTATACTGAAACTCTCTGCCTAATGATCAGGGACATACTATGGTGAGCAGAAATTACACCTATATCCACAGAAACCTCCATGCTTGCTCAAGAATGCAGAGTACTGTTCTTGTCTTTCCTCTGGGGGAGCAGAATAAAGAGAAAAAGCGGTTTCTGGTTCATTTGCCTGTTTACGCTCACAAAAAATCCCCTTGCTGCTGATTCTCTCCCCTCGGTTTTGTTAGCAGACCTGCTGAATATCAAACCACAGCTGGCCAGGAAGTTTCCAACTAACAAGGCTGTCCTTTGGAGCCAAAATGATGCACCAAAGAATATCAGAGTAAATAAACTTTGGATGTACCACAAGCAGAGGATATTTTTGGCTTTGTTTCCTGCCAGCTGACCAGGCAGCTGCTTCAGAAGCGGGATTACGAAGTTCTGCAGCTCCGGTGAAGTTTTGTTCAGGACCCTCAGCGTGAAGCTTCTTGTTGCAGGGCTTCAGCTCCTAGCTCCCCATCAGCCCTGAACGCTCCCGCTGCAGCCAGAGAGGGTAGGCTTTCCTGGCGTCCCTCTGATGCTGGAGAAATACCAATGCTACCCTCAACTCCCATGGAGGAGCACCTCCTAAAGCTGAAGATGGCCTAAAAACTGTTAGGAATTGAGGAAGATGGCAGGGGACAAAGCAGATGGTTGCTTTGATCTGTTCCAGAAAATATGAGCAAAACCACTTATACTTTCTGGAATGAAAGCATGGAGCATTTCTTTCCAGTAGAATTTTTTTTATAAGCTTTTACTGAAATTATTCCAAACACACAGAGGCATGCACACAGAGGAATTTCCCGTAAAGGTCGTTTCTATATGAAACCAGCTTTTTGGTGTTAACACAGGTTCCTTAACAGTTAGTTTAGGCTGCAGTGGCAATGATGTTAGCTGCAGAGCAGGGTCGGATTTGCTTTGCTGAGCAGACATTGCAGCTTGCTCTGGGAACTGCCATTCCCAAAGCAGGGAAGGCACGTG